CCTAGTATAGATAATGGATAACCATTGGATTATCCAGACAGGTGCTTAAAATATTAATATACAAGCTTTATTATTTAGGCTTATGTATAGCACTCTTGATAACCCTTTGTAGGTAAGTAGTGCACTGGAAAATAAACCAGTGTACCAAGGTAGACAAGGGGTTAAACCATAGCACAGGGATTAAAAGGAACTCTCCAGTGCCAGGAAAACAAATCTGTTTTCTTGGCACTGCACAATCCTGCAGTGCCCCCATCCCATGTTGCTGAAGGGGTTAAAACACCTTCAGTGACTTACCTGAATCCAGCGCTGATGTCCCTCGGCTCCGCCCATGCCCCTCCCCTGCCAACGTCAATGCTTTCCTATGGGGATTCCAACTACGCTGGAGGTCCTAATGCATAGTGTGAGGATGTCCAGCGTGTCGTTTAAAACACTTTTCGTGTTGTAAGAACACGGAAGTCCCTCTAGTGGCTGTCTGATAGACAGCCACTAGTGGAGAACTTAACCCTGCAAGGTAATTATTGCAGTTTTTTAAAAACTGCAATAATTACACTTGCAGGGTTAAGGGTAGTGGGAGTTGGCACCCAGACCACTCCAATGGGCAGAAGTGGCCTGGGTGCCTGGAGTGGCTGTCTAGTAGACAGCCACTAGAGGACACTTCCTTGATCCTAGCACAGGAAAGAGCTAGAGCATCGCTGGACGTCCTCATGCTGTGTGAGGACCTCTAGCGTCGCTCATTTCCCCATAGGAAAGCATTGAAATGCATTTTCAATGCTTTCCTATGGGGAGCGTTAATGCGCATGCGCGGCATTGCCGTGCATGCGCATTAGGTCTCCCCGGCCGGTGGGCGGGGTCAGTCTCGCCCACCGGCCGACGCAGTCAGAAGGAGGAGCAGCGCGGAGGGAGAAGCAGCGACGTGGGACATCATTGCTGCCTCAGGTAAGTTACTGAAGGGGTTTTCACCCCTTCAGCAATCGGGGGTTGGTGGGTGGGAGGGAGAGGAAACCTGCAGTGCCAGGAAAATGGATTGTTTTCCTGGCACTGGAGTTTCCCTTTAAGTAACAGATATTGACTAAAGGTTAGACTATAGTACTATTCAAGTGTAGCATGAATTAACATAGATTGGATAATAGAGTACTATAATATACTGAGCTGTTTTATGGGAGTTGTAGTTCAATAGTTTTTCATTGTAGAAAGCTAACAGCTAAACTACTACTCCCATATTTTTTTTTAATGTTTATTTTTTTTAATTATTATTATTTTTTCAACAACAAAACAAAAAACACAATACTCCCATAAACACAAGTCAAGGCATTATTATTATTATTATTATTGGTATTTATATAGCGACAGCCTATTCTTCAGCACATTACAATATTATAAAATGGGGAATTTAACAACGAACGAGACAAAACTAATACTAATTTTAGTGGAATAATAGGTTTAGTGGGACACTGCTTGAAAGAGCTTACAATGTAGGCATCAGCTAAAATGGAAACAATGAGAGCAAGAGGAAGAAAGGGTGACATAACGGAGAAACATTATTTTTTATTATAAATATAACAAGATTAATAGAACAAGTGTACCCCCTGTGTTAAACATTGCAACAAACATGTCAGTGTATGGAGTGAACACATTGAATTCTACATACTCCAGGCAATGCCTCCAGGTAATCAGGGTGTCATTTCAAATGTAGAAAAGCTGACTCTCAGGATGGGACTAGACTGGAATTCTGTAGGTGACTTTGTGATTCATTGGCTCCTATTGAACAAGTTTAGAACCAGTTAAAAAGTATTTTATTTACACAGACAAATTATAAATAGAAATATAAAATTAATATAACATTGACTAGATGGATGAGTTTAAAGTGATTCTCTAGGTCAGGTGTAGGCAACCTTTGACACCCTAGATGTTGTGGACTACATCCCCCATAATGCTCCTACACCCATAGTGCTGACAAAGCATCATGGGAGGTGTAGTCCAAAACATCTGGAGTGCCAAAAGTTGTCCTTGTTTCCTAGTGCATGCACCAAAAGCACGGGGTACGCCAAGAGCTGGCCAGCTGGTGAGTGTCTGTGAATGTGTGTCAAATCAGTGAGTGTGTGTGTCAGTGACCTCTGTGTGTACATGTGTGTGCCTGTCAGTATTGACAGTGTCTCTGTCAATGAGTGTGTATCAGTGTCCTCTGTGTGTAAATGTGTGTGTGTGTGTGTGTGTGTCAGTGAATGTATGTGCCAGTAAGTGACAAGTGTGTGTCAAATCAGCAAGTGTGTCTGTCAGTGAGTGTGTCGTCTGTGTGTGAATGTGTGTGTGTCAGTTTCCTCTGTGTGTAAATGTGTGTGTGTGTCAGTGAATGTATGTGTCAGTAAGTGACAAGTGTGTGTCAAATCATCAAGTGTGTCTGTCAGTGAGTGTGTCATCTGTGTGTAAATGTGTGTATGCCAGTGTCCTCTGTGTAACTGTGTGTGTGTGTGTGTGTGCCAGTGTCATACACTTGTCCTTACATATACACAATATTCAAATTAAGTCATATTTATTTGAAAAATATTAATTACTACGTTTAATCAGGCTTTTTTCTCCTCCAAAATTGGATTAACTTAAAAATCTGTGTTTACACGTTTCATTTGAAATTTAAATCAATAGAAATGGCTTTCTCGAGGCAGGGGTACTAAGGAATTTTATTTAGACCTGCAGGGGTACTTATCCGTAACAGGTTGAGAAACACAGCTATAGATAACAAAAAAACATAATTTAAAGATAATGATTTGTATGGTGCAGAAGTAGGATTGCAGAGGCACATAGTTTCCAACCGGACCTGCCAACAGTGCCTAACTTTGAACAAACTGAGCTGAGTTTTAGCAGGCATTTAAAAACCAAGGCTGTGCTGATGATCACAGGTTGTGGTGTGGTTTGTTATCTTTGTATACAGAATCTGCTACTGTAGAATATCTGTGCTTGTCCTGACACGTCTACAGACACATTCTCCAGATATGAGAACACAAAGCAAGAAAAATAAAAAGCAAAAGAAGATCTGGATAAGGATACTATATAGAAACTGTTCAATAGATAATTAATCCCTTAAGGATACAACGTCTGGGATAAAAGGGAATCATGATGGAATATTTCCGTCATGTGTCCTTAAGGGGTTAAATAAAAAGAGGATAAATCCTAGAACCATAGAATGTAACGGCAGATAAGAACCATTCGGCCCATCTAGTCTGCCCAATTTTCTAAATACTTTCATTAGTCCCTGGCCTTATCTTATAGTTAGGATAGCCTTATGCCTATCCCACGCATGCTTAAAATCCTTTACTGTGTTACCCTCTACCACTTCAGCTGGAAGGCTATTCCATGCATCTACTACCCTCTCAGTAAAGTAATACTTCATGATATTATTTTTAAACCTTTGCCCCTCTAATTTAAGACTATGTCCTCTTAGTCTTAAATTAGAGGGGCAAAGGTTTAAAAATAATAAAGATTTAAAAATCTGATTTAATACTGATACAATAAAGCTTTTACTGCAGCTTCCAGACACATTTGCTGTACATCAACTACAGCTGTATTTTGGAAGTAACATTAGGAAATGCAGGATGGGTGGGCTTATGGAGGAAAAATTATTTATCAATTAAAAAAACAAAAACAAACTGTAACCTAACCTACATGGTGCACCCAATATGTGTGAGTACCTGCGATGCCCCTATAACATTCTAGAGTGATGGGCTATGGTTAATGGTAAAATAAAATGTAAAGATAGTGAATTCCTTATTTCCCAACAATTATTCGTTCAGAGGGAAAGGATCACTCCTTCCCCCCACCTAATTTCCACCACAGAGCCCCCAGACCTCCATGTGTTTTTGTCCCTGTTTATGTTAACAGTTTGCACTTGCAAGATTGTACTAACTGTGATAGTGAATATGATGAGCTGCTGGTAGAGGTTATTGTACTTACACCTATCTCCATTTGTTTGTTTTTCCTCCCGAATTCTTTATTCTGTCTATTCCCCCAACTTTCTTCTTCATATGTCAATCCATTGTTTTTCCTTCTTCCTGCCATTATTCTCTGAGTCTTTTATCCATCACTCTCTCATCCCAACCCTGAGCATTAGCTCCTAATTTTACCACAAATGTGGAAACGTTGTTCTGACAATGAAAGCAGACAGTGTAGAGATGGGCAGAATTTAATGCCAGTCTCCACACCTAGAGACGATTGGCTTAACAAGCTCTCAAACCCAGAGTCTACTGCTCAAAACCAGAATCCATCCGTGAAATAACCATTTTATAGGTGGCCCTCACCGGTCAAACAATTGTTTATTCCCTATTGAAATAGACACATTGTATAATTCAAACTAAAATAGCCAATCTACGACTTTAGCTGAGTTAGAGAATTGTTCTAACACCGCTATTTTGGCCTACATTTTGCAATTTGGTTGTCAATTCACTAAACTTTACTGTTTAGCAAATACATTTTAGCGTGTTTTCTCGATTATAATTATTATTTTACAGGATTCAAGAAAATGCAACACTACTGTATATTGTAATACACATAATTTGTATACTCCTTGTGTGTTCTCCATCGGAAAATACAATCCATCTATTATTTTCACATTCAGTATGGACTGTTTCTTGTAAGATTATTATTATGCAGTACGACTGGAAAAGGGCCAGAAATGTGACCTTTTCGGATGTTGTGTTCCTCTAATTAACGTAACATATATGGAACATTTCAGTGCGGTTTGTACGACTCTAATGGTGTTTTGTTCCCATACTGGCAGCTATGAGACATGCAGTTTATAATTAGTGCCAGCGAGTCGCTCTTATTTGTTTTGTCACTATGGGGGGAAAGAGAGGCTTATGAATTGTAATGAAAAACTCCTACTGCGTGATTTCAGAGTCCAAATGCCTAAGCTGCCAGACCCCTACATATAGACATGCATTTATTTTCAAGCTGAAAGCAATCTGATTTAAGGTTGGTGCACACATTTTCCACAGATTTCTAAATCTGCACGAATACAGCCATATGTTTCCTATAAATGCCAATATGGCTCCTACAGACTGCTGTAGTACATACACTTCATATAACCCCAACTCCCAGAACTTTAAAACTCAATCATAATTTTTATAGGTTCCTCAACAGATTCCCTCCAACTACACGCTGTACCGAGAGACTCCTGTCCGCCTGACAATCTCCAGACAAACTAAATACCCCTCAGACGTGCGTTGGCAAGGTAACTCTGTGCTCCAGGTAGGTATATCTTATAGTAACCAATTCCTAACTATGTCTCTAGCACGGTGTGCCTTCCTGGATATGAACTTGCCATGCACAAGATTTGATGATGACAGAGTCACTTTGAAATGTTAGTTTTTGCTGTAAGTTATTGACTTGGACTAGAGCATTTTTATCCAGAAAACACAGGGTTATAGAGAGCTGACAGCTGCAAAATGTTTGTGCACAAGCGGAAGCAATTGCATTTAGACACACAATTAAACATAGGATCATTTGTAATGATGCTTTTAGATACACATGTTCAGCATAATCTTTTCCCCCCTTTTTGAGATTTTGACTTATGCTCTATAGAGCCAAGTGCAACTACACACAGGGAAGGCATGGCAGCGGGGAGGGGAGGAGGGCGACAGTTGTTCTCTGGAGGGACTATAATTGTGGACTGCTAACAGCACCAGTCTAATATATTATGTAACAATAATTTTGTCTATTTTAGTTCTCGGATATTATAAAATATTTTAAGAGCACCTGTCCTGCCCAAAACTACTTCAGCTGAGTTTAAAGCAGTTTTGCTAGCAAATGTATAGACTGGGCAAAAAAACTATTTTAAAACAGTTTTTTTTCTCCCACCTGTAAATCAAATCTTCGGCATAGACTCCTATGATGAGGAAGTGATTGATAAAGGAGAGCACAGGTGGTCCCACAGAGGGTCCTTATGAAGAAATTATTTACTTTGTTTTTACATTGCAATAACTGTCCTTTATGAAGTCTTAACAAAAACGAAACGCGTAGGAGCTTCTGTTTTATGCTGTATGACTTTATGAAATATATGTTTTTCTACTTGATGCGGTGTACCGAGTCTCCTGAACTTCATTAAGAAGGGCAACAGGGCAGTAGCCCCCCAGTACATTCAGGGGTTTTGTGAGTGTAACAAATGTCATAGCATGGTTACAAGTTATAACAGTATCACACTATTGCTTTTTTATAAATTTTTTAGGATTCATCTGTGACTTCATATCTTCGGTATTTATGGGTCCTTCTGCTCTGCATGTGCTGTGGTTGCTACGGTAACTCCCTAACTGGTGCTTTTATCAGCAGCTGGGAAGTACAGGTGGTCCTCATTTAGCGACCTACCTGTTTTACACATGGCCGTAAGTGCAGGCCGTCTTGGGGATTCCCTGCTCTGGTGCGCATGTCTATGTTCGGGGAAACTTCCCCGAACATAGACGAACGCACCAGAGCAGGGCATCCCTTAACTCCTCACTTACCAACCAATTCGTAGGAACGGAACTCAGTTGGTAAGTGAGGAGTGTCTGAATAAGAACGGAGTGATATTTAAGTACCGGCAATGAAGCCAGCATGTCAGCATCATGGAAGAGATTTGCCCTGCATGGGGAAGTGCCCCCAAGAAGGGCAAATCAATGGAGCAGGAGGAGCGAGGGTGGACCAGAGGAAGGTGTTAGCACTTGTGCAGCTTGTGCTGAGGGGGCCCAGCAGATCCTACTGGACATGAGGGAAGCGACACTCTGCATCCAAAAGGTAGAAAACAGGAGAGTGGCTAAAAACGTGGACATTTTTACCACGGGAGGGTGGCAGTTTTTGCTGCCCCCTGAAAGTGCCTCCCAAGGCAAATGCCTTGTTAGCCTCGTGGAAAATACTACTATGTCTCATCCCCTATTTAGCCCTGTACTGCAGAGAACTCAAGATGGGAGGATTTCCCCAAATGAGTAGCTCATTTAGTAGACAGTTGGCTGTTAGAGTAGGACCTGCCAAAGATGGGGTACATTGACATTGTGGCCAGTGGTGTATCCTGGTTTTGTGCTGCCCTAGGCAGGACAAAACTCAGGCACCCCCCGCGCCACCCCCACCCAACCTTCTAAATACACACAGTCAGACACAAACACACACACAGTCAGACACAAAGAAACATACACACAGTCAGACACCAACACACACACACAGTCAGACACAAACACACACACAGTCAGACACAAACACACACACAGTCAGACACACACAGTCACACACACACACACACACACACACAGTCAGACACAAACACACACACACAGTCAGACACAAACACACAGTCAGACACAAACACAGACACAAACACACAGTCAGACACACGCACAAAGTCAGACACAAAAACACACAGTCAGACACAAACACAGTCAGACACACACACACAATCACTTACATTAACACTTTTTTTAATTTAACCCCCCCCGCCTGCTTACCTTTGGGAGTGCTGGGGGGGAGGTGGGTCCTCTTTCTCCCTGGTGGTCCAGTGGCTGCCGGTCGGGCTGATGGGTTGGCTGCTGGGTGGGCGGCTGGCGAGTGAGCACTTCCTCTGAGCGGTCTGCTCAGCTCCCTTGCGCGCCGCACAGTGAGGCTGGGAGCCGGAATATGACGTCAGTGCTCCCTCGCCAGCCGCAAGCCCAGCGCCCAGGGCCCAGCATGTCTGTTAGCCGCGAGGCAATGCCACCCAAGGCAAATGCCTTGTTTGCCTCGCGGCTAATAGGTCCCTGGCTGTGGCAGGCTTATGCAATGTATGATCATTTAATGTAACTAAACCCCCATTATGTTTTGCCTAGATTAGGTGTTTTTAATAAAACCATCAAAATCACCAAAGTAGCTGTTTAGTAGATAAGGGAGTGCGCTGGATTTTCATTTTTACCGTACTTATTGGCCCCCAGCAGCACCCCATTTAAGCATGTTTAGGTAAGTGCAGCCAACCCCTTGTTTTCTCTCACCCCCATCCTGTCATACTCATCCTGTCACAGTCACCAGCTGAAGACATTCATCATACACAACACACACATTCATGAAACATATCTTTGCCATAAACACAATGTACAAAGGCCCAGACACGTATCCAGAGCATTTGGCACCCAGGGAGGATCCTGTGTTTGACACCCTCTCCTCCCCCCCCAGATCCCTCCCCACACTTACTTTAAAATGTAAAAAACACCCACTGTTATTTTCCCCCCTTCTATAAAAACCCTGCCCAGCCCCCTTCACAAAACCCCCTCCCCTCTCTATCAAAATCCTGTCCAGCCCCGCTTCACAGAAATACCCCCCCCACAAAAACCCTGCCCAGCCCCGCTTCACAGAAATACCCGCCACCTCCCCCTACAAAAACCCTGCCCAGCCACTTACGGTAATATCTATAAACAAATCCCCTGCACACCTTCTACAAAACCACTGCCCATCCCCCCCCTTCTACAAAACTTCTGTATCCTTTCTACCAGACCACTGCCCATCACAAAATCCCTGCACACCCTCTAGAAAAATCCTGCCCTGTCCCCTTCACACTCTCTACGAAAACCCTGCCCGGCCCCTTCACAAAAACCCCTCCCCTCTCTACAAAAACGCTGCCCAGCCCCCTTCACAAAAACCCCTGCCCCTTCTATAAAACCCCTGCCCCTTCTATAAAAACACTGCCCAGCCCCCTTCACAAAAACCCCTGCCCCTTCTATAAAACCTGCCCAGCTCCTTCACAAAAACCACTGCCCCCTCTACCACAAAACCCTGCCCTTCACAAAAACTCTGCCCAGCCCCTTCACAAAACTCTCGCCCAGCCCCCTTCACAAAACCTCTGCTCATCCCCTTCCTGAAACCACTGCCCCTACTACAAAGCCACCTTCTATAAAAACCCTGTCAGCCCCTTCACAAAACCCCTGCCCCCTCTCACAAAAACCCTGCCCTTCACGAAACTCTGCCCAGCCCCTTCACAAAAACCTCTGCTCATCCCCTTCACAAAGCCACTGCCCAGCCCCCTTCACAAAACCTCTGCTAATCCCCTTCACAAAACTGTCCCTTCTATAAAACCCTGCCCAGCCCCCTTCACAAAAAACCCTGCCCAGCCCCTTCCACAAAACCTCCTGCTCATCCCTTCCCACCCAAAATCCTGCCCCCTCTACAAAACCACTGCCCAGCCCTCTTCAAACCTCTGCTCATCCCTTCACCAAGCCCTGCCCTTCTATAAAAGGCCACCTGCCCAAGCCCCCTTCACAAAACCCTTGTCCCTTCTGTAAAAACCCTGCCAGCCCCCTTCACAAACCCTGCCCTTCACAAAGCTTCCTTACTTGGCCCAGCCACCAAAAGCGATGCCACACTCGCTCATCAGGTGATGATGGTGTGAGGGATTAAATACCTTTTTTTTTAGCTCCCTGGTGATCCGGTGGCTATAATATCCTGCAGACCATGTATCTCGCGATACACTCTTACTCACAGAAACACAGACACAAATGCACTCTCACTGACAGACACATATGCACTCTGTTGTAAGAGCATTGTGAATATATGTAATTCAAAATGAATGTGATAAATGCAATTTAAAAAATGCAGTGTCAAAACCAAACAGTGATAGTGCTTCGATGTATATTGTGAAATTGGATTGTGAGCTAAACTCAAGAGGCAGCAATTGCCCAGAGCATTTGACTTGTAAAGACTTCCCATTGAGCTGCATTGGGAAGTCTGTGATTGGACAGCCACAGAAAGTCTGGGCGGGGTTAGAAGGGGAGGGCTTGCAAAGACAGCAGACAAGAGAACTGAAGGTTTTTCCAGCTGTTTTTGGATATACCCCAATAAAAATGCATTAGTAAATGCATGTATGTTTCCATTGGGGGTATATCTACTAAACAGTGATTTTTTAAATTTATTTTTTTGGTATTTGGGCAGTGGACTGTCTCTTTAACCCTGCAGGGTTAAAATTAAATGGCTACTGCATCAGACTGCTTCATTGAAATGAAATGATGTGGGTGCCTTTGAACTGTTGTAAAATAATTTAACACTGAATGGAGGGACAGTGCAAATCCTGCAAATTTGGCAAATCCTGTGATATAATACTTGGAGCATCATCTGTCGTGAAAGGGTTAATCTAGCTGTGTAAAAATGATTATAAAAAACACTGGGGGGAAAAAAAACTTTATTACTCAGTTTCTAACAGGCTCTTTATACTTACATATGATAAATACATTATTTCCAAAGAAACTCCTATTCATCTTCTAAAATTCATGCAGGTTTCAGCATGCAAATAGTATGCTGTAAAATATAGCAAAGTACTTAACATTGATTTAAACTCCATCACAAAATAGTTAAAAACTGCTGGCACCCGTAGGGTTAAAGAGAAGCACATGATCACTGTAAGCAACATTCGCCTTTAATCCTTGAAGGACTAAGGAAGAATAAATCTCTTTAAATGGCCGGTTAATGATGCTCTATCAGAATACAATGTCCCATTCAGGAAATGGTGTTAGGGCTTTAAAGGGCTACAAATGCTAAACCAACAGGACATTATAGACTGGTATTGGGTATTTAGGGGGCAGTTTGTGATGACTGCATGAAATATCATGGGTCCTTAAGGGGTCGATTATTTCTGAGGCTGGACAATGGTTTCAAACTGGTTTTAGTTGAAGGACTGGCTAAAGACGCAGCTTCCTGCACACAGAGTCCCACGAAGTGAAGCTTCAACCATTCAGTGCAAACGTTCATTTCCTGTAGTGCTGACTCAGGAAGGAAAACAAGGCAGCATGCATACTGAGAAAAAGGATCCGCCGTCTGCTGGGAGGGAGCTGGGAGGCTGCTAAATCGTTATTATTCAGGCTAACAGAGTGAGACAGGGATTAGCTGCACAGCTCAGGCTTATACAAGGGACAGGAGGGCGAGGAAAGCAAGGCGAACGCAGGGCTAAGGGGTGTGCGCTTGTTGTCGAAGAGAAATTTGACTACCAGGAACTGAACAGGAAGGAGGGTTAAAAAACACAGGTGCAGCGAGCACCTTGAAAAGTGGACTAACCAGAACCTGATTGAAATTCTACGTTATCTTAAGCGGGGTAGATTATGAAAAGGACAGAGCAATCCACTCGATAGACAATTTTAAAATAATATATTGATCTGGCGCAGGATCAGGGTTGTTAGAGTCTGCAGCTTTCCATTAGCTGACTGATAAGTTGCGACAACAATAAAGCAGGTGGTTTTGGGTAGAGAGTTTTGGGTATGGCTCAAGCCCCAGAAGATTCCACCAATCTGCCCTTCGATGGGACGTGCGATGCCTGTGAACCCGACGAAGCCAAAGATGCAATCGAAATCTGCGATAATTGCGGTTTCTCGTACTGCGCATTCCATTCGATAGAACACAAAGATAGATTTGCACAACACAGGGTTAGGGATCCCTCGCAGCCTCCCCCACCAGCAGATCCGTCCACGTCCACCGAGGAGCCAGGTGATGATAAAAAAAAATGCGCCGTACATAACCAAGAGCTGACGCTCTACTGCAGGGAAGACGAGAAAATTATATGCGTGCTATGCGCAGTCGCTGGAGATCACCGACAGCATGAACTCATCACACTCAATGAAGCCTATCAAGAAATGAAAGTAAGTTTACTCCTGGGCAGGGGGGGAAGTTACCAGTGAAAAGAATGTGTGGCTTACCCGCTAAATAGTGAATTGCCCATTGAAAGCTGAATTGGAAATCGTAGGCAAAAATTGTGTTGAGATTTTTTATTTTTTTTTATACATTTACACCATATTTCTTTGGCCACTGAATGTTTGAAAATGTGGTAGTCCAAGCACCACATGTTTAAAGGACCACTATAGTGCCAGGAAAACATACTCGTTTTCCTGGCACTATAGTGCCCTGAGGGTGCCCCCACCCTCAGAGACCCCCTCCCTCCGGGCTGGATGGCAAGGAAAGGGGTTAAACTTACCTTTATTCCAACGTCGGGCGGGGAGCTCTCCTCCTCCTCTCCGCCTCCGATCCTCCTCCTGGGCTGAATGCGCATGCGCGTCAAGAGCTGCGCGCGCATTCAGCCGGTCTCATAGGAAAGCATTCAGTGAGAAGCACGCAAGCGCCTCTACCGGCTGTCGATGAGACAGCCACTAGAGGATTTGGAGGCTGGATTAACCCATTTATAAACATAGCAGTTTCTCTGAAACTGCTATGTTTATAAAAAAAAAAGGGGTTAATCCTAGAGGGACCTGGCACCCAGACCACTTCATTAAGCTGAAGTGGCCTGGGTGCCTAGAGTGGTCCTTTAAACAGCAGTGACGTAGGGGGGAGTATTCACTAAGCTGTGATTTGACATATGGGGACCCAATAGTTGTCCAAATAGATAAGATGGATACGTATTTTTTTCCAATACAGCTATTTCTTCTCAAAATTTGCATGTTAAAGGACCACTATAGGCACCCAGAGCACTTCAGCTTAATGAGGTGGTCTGGGTGCCAGGTCCAGCTAGGTTTAACCCTTTTTTCTATAAACATAGAGCACTTACAGCAAAGCATAGCCTTCAGTTATCATAGGTACAAGGATTCTCAAAGTGGGTTTTGGATAGTGACACTCCCTCCATTTCTCCTCCACCTCGACAGCTGGAACATTTACTGTGGTGAAGAATTATATGAAAGTTGGAAAAAATAAACCTTTTTATATCCATTGTATTTTGTGTTAACTACTGTACTGTTACCAACTTCCCAAGATGTTCTGTGTATGCTGTCCTTCATTTTCTGTGCACCCACAGTCATGTGATGTTTAGTATTTGCATTGTATGCCAAGTTGTGCCAGCAGCCTGGCCTGACACTCTAGCCTGTTTCAACGCTCTACTACTTGTTAGGCCTTGGCAATATCAGTGAAGTTACAGTAACTCTTTAAACTGTTACCTTTTGAGTATGTTAAAGAAATTAAAATTCTAAAGCTTTGCCTTACAAATCGCTTAAAGGACCACTCTAGGCACCCAGACCACTTCAGCTTAATGAAGTGGTCTGGGTGCCAGGTCCCTCTAGGATTAACCCTTTTTTATATTTTTATAAACATAGCAGTTTCTCTGAAACTGCTATGTTTATAATAGGGTTAATCCAGCCTCTAAAGCCTCTAGTGCCTGCCGCGCATGCGCATTCAGCCGAAGAGGAGGCGGAGAGGAGGAGGAGAGCTCCCCGCCCGGTGCTGGAAAGAAGGTAAGATTTAACCCTTTCCTCGCCATCCAGCCTGGCGGGAGTGGGACCCTGAGGGTGGGGGCACCCTCAGGGCACTATAGTGCCAGGAAAACGAGTATGTTTTCCTGGCACTATAGTGGTCCTTCAAAAATAAAAATAAAAAAGTTTCAAAAGTGCTTCTACTGTAGCCTCCACAAGACGTCTGGCAACATTTCAGCCACTTCATGGTTTGGGACAAAGACAAAAATGTCGCCAGATTACTTGTCATATGCACAATAAAGGCATTTTAAGGTATTATGAAAAAGGTTTAGGAATTAATTTATTTTTACACTCCCTGTTTCAAAGGTGAGATTCTTAATCAGAACCAGCCTCTCTGCACACCTACAAATGAGTTGGAATCAGTTATATTTTACCTCTATTCTGTAAATATTGTTACAGTTACTCGGCTGACATTGACAGCAGAGATAAACGCATTTTCTGTATACCTTTATGCCAACGCAGTCAGTAACTGGCAATGAATGGCAAGCTGTGCCAGAGCAGATTTGCTTATAATACCAGTATACATTTGTATTGCTCAGTTATTTTTTGTTTGTGTCTTAAAAGAGCACAACAAATGTCTCTTATTTTAAAGGATCACTATAGTGTCAGGAAAATAAATGTGTTTTCCTGACACTATATAATCCTTAGGACCTCCCCACCCTCAGGGTCCCCCTCCCTTAAAAACCCTTCAGCCACTTACCTTAATCCAGCGCCGGGCTCCCTCGGCGCTGGTGACCTTTTCTCCCCTGCCGACGTCGGCTCCTGAGTGGAGCGGAATGCGCATGCATGGCAAGAGCCACGTGCGCATTCAAACAGTCCATAGGAAAGCATTTCTCAATGCTTTCCTATGGACGTTCTCCACGCTGAAAGTGAATTTCGCATCCAGCGTCGCAGAAGCGCCTCTAGCGGCTGTCAGGAAGACAGTCACTAGAGGATGGATTAACCCTGCAATGTAAACATAGCAGTTTCTCTGAAACTACTATGTTTACATCTAAAGGGTTAAGACCTGGCACCCAGACCACTTCATTAAGCTGAAGTGGTCTGGGTGACTATAGTGGTCCTTTAACATTTGCTGCAGTTAACTACCAAAGTGACAGTTTCCCTTTAAACATTTATTCTCTTGGCAACAGTGTTATCCGCTGGTTACAAATTATGTTATTACTGAGTTTTACAAGGTTGTATTCCAAAGTTCCAAAGACACAGAGCAAGGTGTCGCCAGTGCTGTGAAATAAACGAAATGAGTTATTTTTCATTGTTTTATTAGGATATGGGATCTTGAAAGAAACTATAAAAAAAAAAAAAAACAGCTCAGCTATTCCTACTTTATTAGTTAAGCATCACAGAACATTTCCAAAGGGGGAGATTTCATGGTCAATCCATGGTATATGGCAGAGTGAGGGGATCTGTGCCTGTGGTAGCCCAGATCTCTGCACAGCTCCCCCATACAAAGCCCTGCTTTATTAGTAACTAGATAATCATCACGGGTTCTCATCACAAGAACTGGCTGGGGGCAAAAAATATCTTCCCCAGGGCCATCTGAGTAGAAATATCTGTTCCCATACTCTAAACCACAGGGGTGCAACTATGTAGCAGAACTCCCAAAACTGCAAATAGACAAAGAGGGGCACTTTCATTTTAAGGTCCTGCGTGGGGGTGAGGCCTGAAGTGGGGCGGTTCTGAGAAATGTTAGGTGACTTACTAATAACAATTTATAGAACTAAAATGTAATTTAGAACAAGAACAATGTATCTTATTTAAACAGACTGATTTCTAAACACATTTATTGTAGTTTAAAGACACATCACTGGGAGTTTTATTGCTGTGGAGCTCTGTGATACACTCAAACATGTTACTGGGAGCTCTGTACTCACACACCAACTGTATGGAGCTCTTAGAACAAAGGGATATTCAAGTAGGACAGATGGAGTTAAGTCCAAAATAGGGACTGTCCACCCTAAATAGGGACACTTGGAAGGTATACTGTAGTTCCCCCAGTGAGTGAGAGTGAGCCTGTACCTGATGTAGATAAAATGGCACCAACCTGGGCCCTTGCTTCCTCCTTGAGCAAAGCATTTGGAAAATGTCATAGAGCATAGTAAGTACAACTGACAGCTATGCAAAGTACAGACTCTGCTCTCTGCAGGAAGAAACAGATTCTCTTGGGATCTAATAGGCCTCTGGGTGACATGCTGTGTTAGCCTGGGTATCATCATTTCAGGAACTCTCTGCATATCACTTGGGTCCTGCCAGGCTCAACTCAGCTTGCTGTGTAAAAGACTACTGAGTACAGGTGTAGTGTCTTTAAAGAGGCATTGTCACCCTCAGGGTACTTTGCAGAAGTTGCAACGACCCCCCCCCCCCCCAAAGATGACATTGCTGTTGGTGGTCGGGGGCTGGTAGATAACTGTGGGTTCTACTTACCTGAACTTGTCCCTTGCGGGTGTGGCCATCTTCCTCTGGCAGTCCTCTACAGCTCCGTGTTTCGACATCGCTGTTGTACTCTCGCGAGAGTACAGCATTGAGGTTTATGGAGGATCCTCTGAGACCATAAGTATCCTCCGTAGATAAAAACAATTCCCTGCAGCCGTCATTGATTTAACTGGGCGAATTGACACTTCTATACGGCGGTAGCTCCACGCAGTGTCTTACAGGGTCAGGCATAGAAAATAGTAGTCCCTACTTTGTCTCTTGACTGGGTTGGGATTTAATTCACAAATGGAGGATACCGGACTCACACTTAGGAATCCAGGTGCTTATCAGGGCCGGGGTTGGCAAAAACCCAGTTTAGTAGATAAAATAAATTCGGTCCAGGCACTCAGGATTGCTGCAGGAAGGCAGGTTTATCGGAACAAAAAGTGCAACGTTTCAGCCTACACAGAGGCATTTATCAAGCTTCATTTAAGTGAAATTCCAACATATTTCATATAATATTCTATCTTTATGAAATAATTATTTTTCAGTGGGGGGGGGAGTCGTGGGGATGACAGACACTTTAAAGTAAAACTGAGCAGGTAAAATTCATTGAAGCAGGTTTCACTCTACTTCTTGCTCAATTTGGATCGGGTTGATGGGTCTTTTAGGAGCTCACAGACAGGTCTGCTCTGCATTAGTTGTCCCATAATTCCGGCATGTTGCTTGGCAATTTAAACAGCGTTACAGTTGCAAGAAAAAGTATGTGAACCCTTTGGAATGATATGAATTTCTGCACAAATTGGTCATAAAATGTGATCTGATCACAACAATAGACAATCACAGTCTGCTTAAACTAATAACACACAAAGAATGAAATGTTGCCATGTTTTTATTGAACACACCATGTAAACATTCACAGTGCAGGTGGAAAAGTATGTGAACCCTTGGATTTAATAACTGGTTGAACCTCCTTTGGCAGCAATAACTTCAACCAAACGTTTCCTGTAGTTGCAGATCAGACGTGCACAACGGTCAGGAGTAATTCTTGACCATTCCTCTTTAAAGAACTGTTTTTCAGTTCAGCAATATTCTTGGGATGTCTGGTGTGAATCGCTTTCTTGAGGTCATGCCACAGCATCTCAATCGGGTTGAGGTCAAGACTCTGACTGGGCCACTTCAGAAGGCGTATTTTCTTCTGTTTAAGCCAGTCTGTTGTTGATTTACTTCTATGCTTTGGGTCATTGTCCTGTTGCAACACCCATCTTCTGTTGAGCTTCAGCTGGTAGACAGATGGCATTAAGTTCTCCTGCAAAATGTCTTGATAAACTTGGGAATTAATTTTTCCTTTGATGATAGCAATCCATCCAGGCCCTGACGCAGCAAAGCAGCCCCAAACCATGATGCCCCCACCACCATACTTCACAGTTGGGATGAGGTTTTGATGTTGGTGTGCTGTGCCTTTTTTTTGTCACACATAGTGTTGTGTCTTTCTTCCAAACAACTCAACTTTGGTTTCATCTGTCCACAGAATATTTTGCCAATACTGCCGTGGAACATCCAGGTGCTCCTGTGCAAACTGTAAACGTGCAGCAATGTTTTTGTTTGGACAGCAGTGGCTTCTTCTGTGGTATCCACCCATGAAATCCATTCTTGTTTAGTGTTTTACGTATTGTAGATTCGCTAACAGGGATGTTAGCATTTGCCAGTGACCAGTGCCAGTAAGTCTTTAGCTGACACTCTAGGATTCTTCTTCACCTCATTGAGCAGTCTGCTTTGTGCTCTTGCAGTCATCTTTACAGGATGGCCACTCCTAGGGAGAGTAGCAGCAGTGCTGAACTTTCTCCATTTATAGACAATTTGTCTTACCGTGGACTGATGAACAGCAAGGCTTTTGGAGATACTTTTTGTAACCCTTTCCAGCTTTATGCAAGTCAACAATTCTTAATCGTAGGTCTTCTGAGAGTTCTTTTGTGCGAGGCAATGCTTCTTGTGAAAAGCAAACCCAGAACTGGTGTGTGTTTTTAATAGGGCAGCCGTAACCAACACCTCCAATCTCATCTCATTGTTTGGACTCCAGTTGGCTGACATCTCACTCCAATTAGCTCTTGGAGATGTCATTAGTCTAGGGGTTCACATATTTTTTCCACCTGCACTGTGAATGTTTACATGGTGTGTTCAATAAAAACATGGCAACATTTCATTCTTTGTGTGTTATTAGTTTAAGCAGACTGTGATTGTCTATTGTTGTGACTTAGATGATGATCAGATCACATTTTATGACCAATTTGTGCAGAAATCCATATCATTCCAAAGGGTTCACATACTTTTTTTTGCAACTGTATTTACTAAAATATATTTCGAATTTCAGGCCAGAGTATCTTTTACTGAAAGCGTAGCTGATTTAGATTACATTTAAATTTGAAATTCACTTTGAATTGTCACTTTATAAAAAAAAAATCCAGAAATTCTAAGTGCATAGACTGGGTGCCAGTTTTTGTATGCCAGGCTGTTCCATCGGAATTGTGAAGGTTGATCTAAACTGAGCAGAGAATAAATGTTTAAAATGCTTACAAAACCGGTAAGGGAAGCTGTTTTTTTCCATTGGGTAAACGTTTAAACGTGATGCATTTTAGTGGAAGCGATTGTACTACATTGAGTATAAACCTTGGATTTGTACTTGTTGTTATTTTATATAACAGAAATGTATTGCATCCTGTTTGTACGTATAGGCTTGCACTCTATACAAGGTTTGCTTCTGGTTGAATTTGGCTTGTAATCTGGATAAAATCCATGAAAAAGACTGGGGAAATATTACTTTTTGCAGGGGGCTAACTTTGGCTTAGAGAATACCCTAGAGCAGAATTCATTTTCTTTTATTTGTTTATAAATAGTTTATTATCGGGAAAGCTGCCAATCACTTGCAACAGCTGGTGGAGTGACCCTTTCAAACAGTGATGTCATCCAGTTGTTTGTTTTTACAGTATACATAGACATATGTAAATTGCTGGGTTTTGTTGAAGGTTTGTGAGAATGGATCAGCAGTTATACATCATGTAATGGCAGTAAACACTGGCTTAATTACATCTGGTAACAATTTACTTTAACAGACACATTTCCCAGCACTTTCACACATTGTTCACGCAGTTCTACAAATGCCACTAACAGAGGTCAGAGTGCGGGCAGCATTATTGCATATTTTTACGTGACCGGCTGTGAAACTCAGGCCATCCTGGGCTTTCCATGCGCAGAGAACTGCAGAAATGCCCTGAGACAGCATTGCACTTGAAGCAGTATATGATCGATACTACTCTTATTGGGACATATGTCTGAGGAGCAGAACATCAGAGAAAAAAAACAGTGAAGTAGGGCAGAGGTTTACAAAGTGACTGTTTTGTTGATTCTATGACAGTTTTAAAAGGACACTATAGTCACCAGAACAACTACAGCTTATTGAATTTGTTCTGGTGAGTAGACTCATTACCTTCAGGCTTTTTGCTGTAAACAGCCTAGTGATAACTTCACTGGCCACTCCTTAGAAGGCTGCTAGACAGGGCCATCTTTAATATAACTAGGACCCTGGGCAACACCTTTCACATACATACTGACACTGACAGATATGCTGACACAGACAGACACAAACACACTTACGGGCATACTGACACACATACCCTGACAGGCATACTTACACACAGACACACACACACAAAGACATACACTGACAGACATACTGATATACCCATTGACGGGCATACTGACACACACACATACACTGTCAGACATACTGAGACACACAGACATACTGACACATTCACACTTTTAAATCTACTCCCTGTTTCCTACCTTGAAGGATTGCTTCCCTGGTGTCCAGAGTGATGGCTAAGGCTTTTGGGGGTTGCCAACTTGCAATCCGGACCAGTCCCCCTCCTCTCTGCTTACCTGGTGTGATCTTTCCCGCGCAGCTCTCTCTGGGAGGCAGTGACTCACGGCAGTCACTTCCTCCCATGCTGCCAAAAAAGCAAAGGGGCCACAGCATGCAACCGGGCCCATGCTTACAAACGCCCACCGGGTGGCCCTTAGTGCACCGGGGGCGCATGGTGGGTGGGGAGAAAGTTGTTGAGGGCAGCGGGGCACACGGGGAAGCTGCCTTGGGCCCCCTAGAAGTAAAAGGGCCCAGGGGAGATGCTCCATCTGCCCCGCCTTAAAGACAGACCTGCTGCTAGAGGTGCTTCCTGGGGCAGTGCTGCACAGTGTGACTAACATTCAGTGTCTCCACCCTCTGCATGGAGACACTGAACTTTCTCATAGAGATGCATTGATTAAATTAATCTCTGAGGAGATGCTGATTGGTCAGGGCAGCATTTGGCTCCAGCACCAGCAGACTGGAATAAAGGTAAGATGTCACTATATTTAGAGGGGTAAGGGGGGCGTGATAGTGTTTAACACGATAGGGTCTGGAATACATGGTTGTGTTCCTGACCCTGTAGTGTTCTTTAAAAAAACCCTAAAGATAATATTCACTTATTTTTACTTCAAACGTAGCAAAGCAGCCCATCACAGATCTAGCATTGCCATGAGAACGATGATAATATAGATTCAAATGTAGCTTTAAAACTTTTAAGATTGTTTTTTTTTTTTTTATCTTGTCCGACTTATAGAGCGTTCTTTGAATTCTCTACAAAATATCACTTGCTAGTTTTACCTCCAGATAGTGTCTAGTTTAGTAAACATTGTGTGTATTTGTCTGAGGTTTGTCAATCGCACCAACGCCTGCATGACAGCTCGAGGTGATAGGGCCTGCTTAATTTAGGTAAGGAAATGTGATAAGCAGCTGCAATCGCTCTTATTCTTACAATGTGTTATACAAATCCTCTAGTAACCTGTATGGGCGTACCTAAAATGGAGAATAATCTCGTTTACTTTGGGTTAATTATTTCATAAAGAAGTATTTGGGTTTTCCTGGAACTTTGAGGAATCCGCTTCAGTAATATTGCACAACACACTGAATTCACTTACACCGTGCAGGTAAGGGGGCAGGGGACTGTTACTTTCCTGATAGCTACAGATCTGTTTCCTTTTTCCTCTCGCCCCAGTAGATGCTGATATAGTATACAATTTACTGGGACTGAGTGTGTATCAGGGTTAAGTGTAAAATAATTAATAAATAAATCAATCAATTAATATGAGACTCAATCTGCTGAGACAATAATAGGGGAGTCTGGTGCAAATATGGGGGGCCACCTTGAATTATCAAAACTATAAAGAAACACGGACTACTTGCATAACAATTCGTGTGTGTGTGTGTGTGTATATGTGTATATGTATGTGTGTGTGTATGTGTGTGTGTGTGTGTATATATATATATATATATATATATATACATGTCACCTTGTGATCAATAATCTCACTAAAGACTAATTTTTTAAATTTTTTTTGCCCAGTTACATTTTCTACTGTGGTTTTGGGAGTGGCAAGTGTTTCTTTTGTTATCTTTGTATAAACCCCACTTACCTACACTACACTTTCAGGCAGTCCTATTCCTGAGATGTTCTGTGCACTCATGCGCATCAGCCATTATTTTTAATTTGCATTGGATGCCAGGCAGTGCCAAGAAAGCCTTGCAGCTCATGCACATACAAAAAAAACATATATTATTATTCATTGATTTGAGAATTGTGAAGAACTGGAAAATTGCACATTTCTGGCCAAAATAGCTGAACATGAGAAATTTTCCATTGCCTTAAACTTTGTAGAATTTGTAATTAAAATCTAAATGTAAAATAACCAATGATGTGGAAGAGTGTGTATGACTACAGACCTGTACTCAAGACAGCGTGCAAATATACATAAATTGCACCAGCACTACTTCAGTTCATACGAGCGTGCTTGCTTTTCCTTATTAAGGCATGTTTACAGACGGTGTAGTGCTTCAATTAAGTGTCTTGACAAAGGCCAATGTTTGGCTGAAACGTTGTCATTTTCTGAATACTCGAAGAATTGCTCACTTGAACTGAAGGAGTAGATGTATTTGCTAACATGTGCATTACGCTGGGAGTGACCGTCACAGCTTAAAGTGCTTAATGTAATTTGAATTTGGAGTATGACATGAATAATTTATTGTACAGCTCTGCAGAATATGTTGGTGCTATATAAGCAATAATACCAGTTTGTGTCAGATCTGGAACTTGTGTTCAATTGACGTTGCTATCTCTTTTTAACCCCTCGGTGCTCACTGAACATTAATTCCTGTTGCCTGTTGTCCCTTTAATTGTGTAGTAACTTTTCCCCTCCCTCTCCTAGAATAGAAAGCCTGTTGACCTGAAGCTTGCTATGGGTGAAATGGTCGAGAAGTTGAAGGGGAAGTGTGCTGACCACAGAGTAAGTGAGCATTTTCCCATGTCCTGGGAACAACCTGCATTAACCCTTTCTTTCACAGCTCCAGTTCATGCCAAACCTCACCGTCCCATCCAACCACATTACACCAAACTTTGTCTCAAACGTTTACCGCTTCTCGGGAATTATTTCATCAATGAATTATTTTGCTTTTGTTGTCTGAGATTCCACAAAATATCTTTTCAGTTTGTTCTCACACTGCCGGCGTCCTTTTGTCAGTATTTAATGGGTTCAGTGGGGCATCTTTAATGCTGTCGCTAAGAAACAGTAGAATCTCCCTTTCTGCAGATAGAATTTCCACCGTGCCGAGAACGGGACCAAGCTGGGACATGTAGCAGTATTCTGACATTCAGACTAGATTAGTAACAGAACTTATTTATCAGGACAGTTATAGCTGTCTTTGATGCTTTAAGGCTGGCAAAGCAGCATGGGATTTGTAGTTTTACAACACCTGACATGTTTTGGCCACCCAAGAAGCATTCAGGATTGCCACATTTCTACATAAGCCATGTAAGTAACATAACCAGTAAAGCTTGCTTCAAGACAGCTTTTCATTGATCTGGGCCATACCTAAACACTCCAGGCAACATAACTACTACACCAACCAAGCTATAGAGCTATTACTGCTTAGCGTGTCCCTTTAAAAAAAAAAGTAAAACACTTTGTTGTCCTGGGTACAATGTCTCTCTGTCTATCTGTCTATCTATCATTGAGATTGAATGGAATTACTGGTAGGAGAGACCAAACTGTTAGAGCATTAACTAATAACTGCTATTTACTTATTCCTATACATAACAGATATGTTTGTGTGTGGTGTAATATAAAATATTATTCCTGATATGGAATGTTTATTGGAGCAGTGATTGTTGTATCATATTTCATTTATCGTTGTATGATAATCTTACCCCAGTAATTCATGTACAGTAAAACCTGTTCATGAATCCCATCGGAGACACCTGGATTGACCCTATGTAATCACTGTAGCAGTTTATACCCTCCTCACACACATTACAAGCTGGGTAGAAGAATAAAGTCTCACTGAGTAAATATTGTTATTCACAAATGCTAAAATGTATTCAATGCGTTTGTTTTATTACAGTAACCCTTTACCTCCATAGACCTAGTGTAAACAACTGGCTTTATTGTGTTTGCATCGCAAAGCAATATAAATTAAGATTTAACACGTTATGCACAATTTATTATTCCCTCCACTCAAACTCCTGGAGAATTTGTTGTCTTCACTAAAAATGTCTCAGGAGTGGCTCTGGCGATTCCCCTTGTTACAGAGGGATTGCAATAGTCCTCCAGAGGGATTGCAATTCACTTTCCTTACTGGTCAAAACATATATAGCTCAATGTATCATTGGCTAAAGTATACTGCTTGGAGGAAAAAAGAAAGCTCTGTCTAGTACAGGTGCCTGGTTTAACCAGGCAACTTTTTATACTGTCTCTATACGGTTTTAGTATTACGCCAGATAAAGGCAATTTTTTAGGACCCTAGGTACATTTTTGGGAAGCTACGTCTCTGAAAATACTATTAAGTTACTTCAAATACTAATAAGCAGGGTATTTGGCCATTGTGTTTATTTCGGTTACACCTACTATATGTGACAAAAATAGTATTTCTGCTTCTATTCCAACATTCCAAGCTCTGTGGCAAGATAACGGAGCATTGTAGTGTTTATGGTGCCAGGAGTTCCCTTGCACTCATCCATTTTGCAGAAGGTCTTGATGGTAAGGTATGTCTTTTTGCTGATGATACTAAGATATGTAACAGGGTTGATGTTCCAGGAGGGATAAGCCAAATGGCAAATGATTTAGGTAAACTAGAAAAATGGTCAGAATTATGGCAACTGACATTTAATGTGGATAAGTGGAAGATAATGCATCTTGGACGTAAAAACCCAAGGGCAGAGTACAGAATATTTGATCGAGTCCTAAACTCAACATATGAGGAAAGGGATTTAGGGGTGATTATTTCTGATGACTTAAAGGTAGGCAGACAATGTAATAGAGCAGCAGGAAATGCTAGCAGAATGCTTGGTTGTATAGGGAGAGGTATAAGCAGTAGAAAAAGGGAAGTGCTCATGCCATTGTACAGAACACTGGTGAGACCTCACTTGGAGTATTGTACACAATACTGGAGACCGTATCTTCAGAAGGATATTGATACCTTAGAGAGGGTTCAGAGAAGGGCTACTAAACTGGTTCATGGATTGCGGGATAAAACTTACCAGGAAAGGTTAAAGGATCTTAACATGTATAGCTTGGAGGAAAGACGAGACAGGGGGGATATGATAAACATTTAAATATATAAAGGGAATCAACACAGTAAAGGAGGAGACTATATTTAAAAGAAGAAAAACTACCACAACAAGAGGACATAGTCTTAAATTAGAGGGACAAAGGTTTAAAAATAATATCAGGAAGTATTACTTTACTGAGGGTAGTGGATGCATGGAATAGCCTTCCAGCTGAAGTGGTAGAGGTTAACACAGTAAAGGAGTTTAAGCATGCATGGGATAGGCATAAGGCTATCCTAACTATAAGATAAGGCTAGGGACTAATGAAAGTATTTAGAAAATTGGGCAGACTAGATGGGCCGAATGGTTCTTATCTGACGTCACATTCTATGTTTCTATGTTTCTATTTTAAGTTTTAGAATTTTTTGACTTCTTTGCTCGGGACCACTGGGCGCCTCTCCCTGTTCCCACTACAGCCTTCAGAGAGCCGGAAACTCTCTCTCATCTAAGCCACGACTTGACTGCTTAAAAAGTGGGGTGCCGGGACACTTCTGACACCATAACCACTACAGCAAAATACCCCTTAATCAGCATCCCACTCTACACGTGATACCTTTTTAAGAGCATTATAATTACTAAAGCCTGCTGTAGCGGTTGCGGTGCCAGGAGTACACTCACCCAGACTTCAGATACCATGACCACTTCAAATCACTGAAAGTGGACATGGTGTTTTACAATGCGCTACTAATGCTCTGTTTTCAACGTGACATTATTAGATGGCTGCATGAGTCACTGACGGTCAGGTTGTGCATGCTTAGTGAGGGTTTAAGGCTGATTAAATGTGTTTGTAGAGGCTGAGAGCAGGATAGATCAGTCAGATTAGACCAGGTTGGCCTTGATTCAGGGAAGACTGTACGTCTACACGATATTTGTATTTTATTTATTTCTCACTAGACATCAGCGCAGTGCATTGATTGCCCCCAAATGACACGTACACCATCCCATAATGCATGGCGCTCATGTCATGGGAGACGACTAATAATAAAGCTGCTCGCATTTACTTTGTCCTAGCGGAGTGCCTTTTTAATCACCTTTATGGATGCTACTCAAGCATATACAGTAAGGTAAGCAGATTTCAGGTTTCTAATAAGAAAATGGACTGTATAGATTAGCACTGACTTTAATTCAGTCCTGTTCTATACTTCTGAATAACAATCGCACCTTAGAGGCACATTGCAAGCTCTAGAACTGATTATCGCGCATGCACTTACTCTGTACTGGGCTCCCTTAAAATAAACCTTGCGATTACAGCTACATTTATCAGGAAGCTGGCAACAGCCACGGTAAAGGTACTATCAGGGAACATCTATGGGGGTTAAGATAAAAGAGAGCGAGAGGAAAAGGAAAGAGGTAAAGAACAAGAGGTGGGGGATGGAGTGAGGTAGGGGGAGGGAGGAGATGGGTGATGAAGTGACCCCCTCGATATCGTACCCTGCTTCCACTGTACATATTGTAGCGGGATCATTTAGGTTTGAAATGTGAATTTAAGGAGCCAGGAATCCCACATTTTGTTAGTGTTTTGTAGTGTAATGGATAGCGCGGATAGTCTGTCCATGTTCCTAGTATTAGTTCCTTTACGTTTTACTGTTTCCACAAAGGGGATGTCCGGGCTTCCCCATTTCTCAGAAATTGCTCTCCTAATGGCTAGTGCTATTTTGGCAAGTAACTTGTTTTGGGCTCGTGGGATGTCCTTGAGAGGCTTGGAAAGGAGCCAGATCCACGGGTCAAGTGGGATGTCGAGACGTAGAATGTGTTTTTTTTTTAAAAATTTTTTATTTTCTTTACCTTTTTTTTAAAGCATGAATGAGAACAAAATTGCCGTTAACCCCAGCCTTGAATGCCCCTTTAAATGTAATAAAAGGACACCCTACCTAATCTGCATAGTATGCAGACCTAAGAGTGAATTCTCGCTCTCTATTCTGCAGGAGCTACATCCCCAGACTGTACAATAAATTGTTTATATGGAAGGCACTGAATGGTAAAATTAAAAAAAAAAAGTACCAATGTAATCGCTTAGCAATTCAGCACTGCTTTCAGATGCAGAGAAATTCCTTCTAAACTGGTTTTATTGATTGGTGCTCTCTGAATGCATGACTTTAAGAGAATTGTTATTTTTCTGTTGAAGTGCTAAAAGCAGATAAAAGATAAGCAGTTGGGTCGGTTATCTGAAGCTCTATCGGGATTGATCCAGAAAGGGCTTACTACCAAGACTTCTCTATTTAAGATGTGCCATCCATTCTCCTAGATCTGCTTTTATATGTATGAATAAATGGCACTTAGGGTTAACCGACCACCTATATTTTCAATCATAAATAAAACCTCTTTTATGTTGTTGGCAATTGTTTATGTATTTATTGTTTTCTTTCAAATTCTTTCTTTCTTCCTTTTTTAACTGTTTTAAGTATCTTGGAAAAATACATTCATATATTTATTAAAAAAAATACACCAAGGATAAAAGTGTGTGATAAAGTATTGGAAATATAATCAAATGTTATTGCCATTATATGAATCATATGTGAAATATATTGCACTTTATCAATAAAATAATGGTTATGGCCTTTCAAATGATTTTACATTTTTGCAAAAACTTAAAAAAATTATTTCAAAATATTTAAATATCAAAAAATATATACATAAAAATATTAAGATCAATATATAAAAATATTAAAAAAACAAGTTAAATCTTTCTAAAAGTTTATCAAAAAAATATTAAATGTAGACCTATGTCTATGTGAAGTTTTGAATTGTTCTTTCCTATTTAAAGAACACACAAATAAGCTGTCAACTTTTATTAACATAAATATTTACAAGTACATTACAATTGAGACTCATATGACCTCAGCTGATCTTTGGAATGTGACCTTCTAGATATTGCCCAACTACAATTTCCATGATTCTCTCGTCATCTATTGCATTCCAAGAATTCTGGGAGTTGTGTGCCATTAACATCTGGCAGGCTAGCGTTTAATATCCCTGTTTTAAAATGTACCCATGTAATCTCTTATGTTAGAGATACATTTTAACCGTGTGCTCATTATGCATCAATGGAAGCACTATGGAAATGGCCTAATAATCTGACCTCAAAAATGGGTGAGATGTGAGTGATTGTTTTAAAAAACTGTATTTTTGATATTCTGCTTTATGGACCTTAAATGTTAAAATCCCTGTTCTCTGGTATCTCTTAGGTATCCCGCAGCGAGATGAAGTGCTTCATACAGAAGGAGTTTGATCACATGCGGCAACTAGTACAAGATGAAGAGAAAAGGGCCCTACACTTTGTAGATCTCCAGGAAGCTGTAGCCTCGGCTCATGTAACAGAAGTTCTTGCCGAACTTAATGTCCATATGGGCAAACTGATGATAGAGATGTCCGAGATCACCCGGCAGCTAAATAGTTTCAACCAGATGGTGAACGAGAAATCGGAGGTAATTTGATTACAAAAATGATCCTGTACTCAAAGGGGTTCCTGAGATTAAGGAGCACAGATTCTCCAGATAACACAACTAGAAATGTACATGTTCTAACACATTTGCCTTAAGCCATGAATCTAAGATTATTCACACCATAATAATAATAATTAAAGAAAATGTTAATTAATGAAACAGTAGAATCAGAAGTTCAGTGAAGCGTTAATGTCACATCTGTCCTTTCCATGGCTCTAATTGTTATGCCAACCACCTTAACCCCTTAAGGACACATGACATGTGTGACATGTCATGATTCCCTTTTATTCCAGAAGTTTGGTCCTTAAGGGGTTAAAGAACAGCAGATGACTATCACTTGTAGCAAATCAGCTGATGTAAGTCATCCTCATTGAATTGCATGAGAGTAAATTGATATTTTGTTTCTAATTAGTCGCTGTGCTAAAGGATGTCTTTGTCACGTGCCACCAATGTTCTGCCTATACCACTGTAAACATTTCAGTGAGACTTAACAAGTGAAACTCTGTAATATGTACAAAAACAGCAGACATGTGAGTATCAGGTCTTTAGTTTTAATCTGATTGTCTGGCTTAAATATGTATGTTTATGTATCATGGGGTTGGGCACCATGAAATGTCCTTCGCGAATGCCACAGAGAGTATCACTGCTGCGTATTTGTCACAAAAGGCTGATGCGGTCTATTGAGGGTGGGTGATGTGGATGAAGGAATGGTGCCCTTAATGGGTGACTCTGTGAGCTATGAAACAATATTCAAAGTCTAGATACACTTTTCACAGTATGAGAGAGATCTAATTTGTCAGCTGGTGTTTTGGTGTGCTGGTATTATTTTGTCGCTGTTTTAATGGGTACTGTGTTTTAATGGGTACTGTTTTATTGGGTACTGTGTTTATCACTTTGGTTACTAAGAAGTTTTTGATAGGTTTTTCTATTACACTTATTAACAGGTGTTTGGGTCGTGTGTCTGTGAATTGTGGCGGTTACTAGAGGGTTTGATGGGTGCTACATCTGTTGATTATTGTAGCTACGGGGGGGGGGTTTGATCTGCGCTGTGTCTGTGGATTACAGTTGTTATTTACAGTATTGGGTGCTATGTCTTTTTGCTTTTATGTTTTGTTTTTTTTGCACGGTACTGTATTATTTAAGTGCTATACTGAGCGGTATGAGTGTTAATTATTTGATGCATGTCAACCTCAAAGGCTAGCACGGGCCACATAAACAAGTGTATACTAAACTATACTATACTAAATCCCAGTCCCCCCCCCCCCCCCCTTTCCCTACTAAATCCCAGCACCCCCCTCTACTAAACCTTCCTTTTGGAGCTGGTGTGGGCCCTCTTCTCTCGTGAGCGGAGTCTTCCTACTCCTCACTGCTCCCTCATGCGCACAGTTTTGTGATGCCAGGTGCCGAGATATGACGTCCTATTCCGGCATCACTACAGAGGGCGTGCGCTTGGAAGCCGTGAAGAGTAGGAAGACTGAGCTCCCTTGCTACCGCCAGGGACCTCTCCTCCGGCCTGTACCAGGTAAATTTGAGCAGAGTAGGCACCTGCAATGTAAGGAGAGCAGGTGCCTACCCTGCCTTAGTAATCATGGCAAACTCGCGGCTCACCGGGCCACCAATATATTCATTGTGGGCTGCATCCGGCCTGCGGGCCACGAGTTTGACATGCTTGTTGTAGGCTGTTGGTGACGGGATCTATTGATTGAAAACGTTACTCACTAAAATGAGAACTGTGAGCAATTTAAACTGAATTCAAAGTGAATTTTTTCCCTGCTTGTATTTTATTTAAAGAATTAAAGTTTTGGGAGGTTTATTAGGAGTCTGTAGAACAAAGTTGTTTGCTGACTTTATTTTATATATTTTTTTATTTCTGCAGGATCCCGAAGAAGAATCCAGGTAAGTTTATAAACATTCTACTGTATTTCTACTGTGACTGTACAATTCTTGCAAGCCCTGTTAGTCGATTCATGTGGATTCAATGTGTTCTCTCATGCTATTTCTATTTAATGTCTACTGTGATTTTCTGTTTTGTGATTGCACAATTATCTAAACCATGCTTTCTTAAAAAGATGCATTTTTGATGCAGATATTCTAACAAGCGTTGTCAGGCCTGACATTTTTTTTTTTTCCCATGGCAATGGACAACACAGGAAAAGAGCTGCCCTGCAGTATATAGAATTTCTATCCTACAGGATTGAAATCAATAAATTAATAAAGGGTAAGATGGGTATCAAAGAACTTCATTGTCTTATTTAACGGATTTTCTGCCTGCGGGGTTTTGATGTACCTGCAGGGCATCACTTTTCCTGCACTGCCTGCCAATCAGCATGTAGCATGTGATCTGTCCTGTAAAACATGTGCGTCTGGCAAACCTAATTCTAACTGGTAAATTTTGTAACAAATTTTAAAATCTACCAAATCAAGTATAACAGGAATAAAATACATACAATATTAATTCTTACATTGTTCACGGCCTCAAAAGGTAACTTTAGCTCAGTTTAGCAATATCTACAAACTATTTCCAATATTTGTTTCTAAATGCAGATTATAAAAAAATACTTCTTTGTGTGTTCTGTATCCATTTTATAAAGTCCCATCACACACCTGCCCATGTGTGTGTGTGTGTGTGTGTGTGTGTGTTTTAAAAGGCACTGTATTTCATCTAACGCTAGATGAATATAGGTTTCTACGTCTGAGGTTTAACATTATTTTTAGATTGCACTAAGACCAAAACATCTTGTTCATACAGTATCTATTAAACACATCTGTGCTGATCTACTCCAGACACCGTGGCCTATAACCACACTTAACCCCAGATCTGCCAATTCACTAAATTTATTTGCAAACATTGCATTCTAGAGGTAGACGGTAACTTTGCAGTTTGTTCAGAATATTATTTGTGAAGCGTAACAAAAATGACCCACATGTTTGTTTGGTTTTTTTGTATCGGCAGATTTAAATGTATTCACTTTCTTATGTACGTGCCTGGCTTGTTAGTTAATATATTTGTAATATCTTGCGCAGGTTCTCTGTGTAATAAGATTACATGACCTCTGCTGTATAATAGTTAACCAACCCCCAGTGTTTACAACCTGTCTTGGCTATCTAAGGCTGGATGTTTTGGGCAAATTGTCACGATTCGGGGAACCAAACACGCCAACACACACACACACACAAAGTGCCGTACCGGACCTTAGAGTGGCCGGGCTAAGCACACAAAGAATAGTCAGGAAACAAGCCGAGTAAGGGGAACCAGAAGACAGAATAACGTGAAACAAGCCGAGGTCAAAGGTTAGGAGAAAGTCACAGAGTCGGATAACAAGCCAGAGAGTACGTAACCAGAAGCACAAGTTCAGAATCAATACTAACAAGCAAAGACCACAACAGGGCGAAGAGGAACAGGAAAGGTAAGTATATAAATCCAAAGGTTAATTCTGATTGGATAATTTCCAATCAGAATTAACAATCACACGTGGGAGATATCTAAACCTCCCACTGTGATTGAGGCACTGTGCCTTTAACGCCGGGTCAGGTGACTGACCCCGGCGTTTGTTTAAAATGGGCGGTCTCCCAGCGTGCAGCGTCATGCATGCTGCCGCTGGGGGACACAGAGGAAGAGGCGGACGGCACCCGTGGGAGAGAGGATGCCGCCCGCCGAGCGCATCTGGAAGGGGACCGCGGACGGCTGGAGGGTGAGTGCCGCGAGCGGACTGCAGCCTCCCCTCGCAGCCGCCCGCGGGACCCTGACAGTACCCCCCCTCGAAGACCGCCCAGAGGGCGGGAAGCAGAAGGCTTCAAAGGAAACCGGGCATGAAAGGAGCGGACTAAAGAGGGGGCGTGCAAATCAGAGCTCGAAACCCAAGACCGCTCCTCAGGGCCGTAACCCTTCCAATCCACCAGGTATTGCAGCCGACCCCTAGAAACACGAGAGTCGAGAAGGGCAGCTACTTCGAACACGTCACTAGAGACAGTACGAGGGGAAACGGGCCGTCCGAGAGGACGAGAGAACCGGTTACACAGCAAGGGCTTCAAAAGCGAAACGTGAAACGTGTGCGGAATACGCATGGAAGGAGGCAAGTCCAGGGAGTAGGAAACGGGGTTAATCCTACGTAACACTTTGTAGGGACCAAGAAACCTGGGAGCAAACTTCATGGAGGGGACCCTGAGACGGAGGTTCTTGGAGGACAACCACACCCTATCACCCGGAGTATAAGAAGGGGTCGCACCCCTATGGCGATCAGCGAACTTCTTCTGAGCAGCTGCTGAACGAGACAGCGCAATATGGACCTGATCCCACGTCTTCCGTAAAGAGGCGAGGTGCTGGTCCAAGGCGGGCATTCCCTTGTCAGAGAACGCTCCGGGAAGGACAGAAGGCCGAAACCCATAAGCAACCTCAAAAGGACTTAAGCCAGTAGACGAATGAGACACCGCATTCCTGGCAAATTCAGCCCACGGAAGAAGGCGAGACCAGTCGTCCTGGTGCGCATTAGTGAAGCAGCGCAAATACAATTCCACAGACTGATTAGCACGTTCGGCTGCACCATTAGATTGCGGGTGATAGGAGGAAGTGAACGACAAGGAGACCCCCATCTCAGCACAAAAGCCCCTCCAAAACCGAGAGACAAATTGCGGGCCCCTGTCAGAAACAATATCCTGAGGTACCCCATGCAATCGGAACACTTCCTTGGCAAACACCTGGGCAAGCTGAATCGCAGAGGGTAGTTTCTTAAGTGGAATAAAGTGGGCCATTTTAGAGAACCTATCCGTCACAGTTAATATCACCGTCTGACCATCAGAAGGAGGAAGGTCCACAATAAAATCCATGGACAAGTGGGTCCATGGTTTCTTGGGTATAGATAGAGGCATCAGTAGGCCTTGGGGTCTCATATTAGGAGACTTACACTGCGTACAGACCCGACAAGCCTGAACAAAATCCACTACGTCTCGCTTGAGTGAAGGCCACCAGAACTGTTGAAGGAGGCTCTTATAAGTCTTGGTAACCCCCGGATGACCAGCAGTTTTGGCGGTGTGAAATAATGTTAACAACTTTTTTCTGTCACTTACTTTCACGTATAGTTTACCAACAGGCATCTCCTGAGGCGCTTGGGTTTGGTATGTCTTAATATTCTCAAGGAAGGGAGATGAAACAACCAAACGGGTAGCAGCTATGATCTGAGAAGCTGGTACAATAGGTTCAGGGGTTGGGTTAACAAATTCTGAAGGTTCATACTGTCGAGAGATAGCGTCAGCTTTGGCATTATGGCAACCAGGTCTATAGGTAATAATGTATTGGAATCGCGAAAGGAATAGAGACCATCTAGCCTGTCGGGCGGACAACCTTCTAGCATCGGTTATATAGGAGAGGTTCTTATGATCTGTCAGAACCATAATTTTGTGTCTAGAACCCTCTAATAAGTACCTCCATTCCTTAAAAGCTAACACAATAGCTAAGAGTTCTCTGTTCCCAACATCGTAATTCTTTTCTGGATCAGACAACCTTTTAGAAAAGAAACAACAGGGATGGAGGGGTTCGTCATACGATAACCTTTGTGATAGTACTGCTCCCACCCCCGATTCAGAAGCATCTACTTCCATAACAAAGGGAAGAGAAGGATTAGGGTGGTGTAGTACTGGAGCAGAGGCAAATGCTTTCTTGAGAGTTTCAAAGGCTTTAAGGGCTTCAGGAGTCCAAACCCTAGGGTGTAGACCTTTTTTAGTCAGCTTTGTGATAGGAGAGATAAGTGGTGAGAAGTTTTTTATAAATTTTCTATAATAGTTAGCAAAACCTATAAAACGCTGGATAGCCTTAAGTCCTTGGGGAAGTGGCCAGGACAGTATAGCTTCCAATTTAGCAGGATCCATACTAAAACCCTGTTCAGAAATTATATATCCCAGGAATTGCACAGAGGTCTGATCGAACAGACATTTTTCTAACTTACAATAAAGTCCGTTCTGTAATAATTTTTTAAGCACCATCCTAACATGTTTATGATGTGACTTCAAATCAGGAGAATATACAAGTATGTCGTCAAGGTACACCACGGCACAGACATGCAATAGATCCCTAAGGACATCGTTTATGAGATCCTGAAACACAGCAGGAGCATTACACAGTCCAAAAGGCATGACCAGGTATTCATAATGCCCACTACGCGTATTGAACGCTGTCTTCCACTCATCATTCTCCTTTATACGGATAAGGTTATAAGCTCCCCTGAGGTCTAGTTTAGTAAAGTACTTAGAACCTTTAACGCGGTCAAACAACTCAGTGATGAGGGGGATAGGGTAGGCGTTTTTAACCGTTATATTGTTCAGACCCCTGTAGTCTATACACGGCCTCAAATCGCCCTCCTTCTTTGCCACAAAAAAGAAACCAGCACCAGCAGGAGAGGAGGACCTTCTAATAAAACCTTTCCTTAAGGATTCTCGTATGTACTCCTCCATGACCTGGTTTTCTTTCTCAGAAAGAGGGTAGACCTTACCCCTAGGGGGCATAGTGCCCGGTAAAAGGTTTATGGCACAGTCATAGTCACGATGTGGAGGTAGCTTATCTGCCTCCCTCTTTTCAAAAACCAATGCAAGATCAGCATATACAGAAGGGACAGAAACAGAGAGTGGTTTAGCCGTGGGCACGTTGAGTAAACAAACAGGACGTACCTGAGCCATACAGTCTCGTTGACAGGATTCCCCCCAGGATAGTATATCCAAGCAACCCCAATCGAGAACAGGGTTGTGTTTCACTAACCAGGGAAAACCCAGAACGATGGAAGCAGTAGGGGAGTCAATTATTTGGAAGGTTAACCTTTCCTTATGCAAAACACCTACAGACATCACTATTTCTTGGGTCTCATGGGTCACCAGAGGTTTCTCAAGTGGTCTACCATCTATGGCCTCAACGACCAAGGGTGTGGCCTTTTGGATCAAAGTTAAGGCTGCGGTTTTAGCAAAGTTCTCATCCATAAGGTTGTCTGCCGCACCTGAATCGATCAAGGCTTTGGTGGTTATGGTGGTTTTATTGACCAAAAGAGAAACCGTAATAAACGGTCTGGAGATGGACACATGAGGGGACAAAGTCATAACACCCGAGGCCGACCCCTCTCTAGGCCTTAGGTGCTGTAGTTTCCCTGTAACTTAGGGCAGGCATTACAGTGGTGCCCCCTCTTTCCACAATAAAGGCATAACCCCTCCCTTCTACGATATGCTCTTTCAGCCTCAGTTAGCCCCGTAGCACCCAATTGCATGGGTTCGGGGGTTGGTTGACTAGGAGCGGGTAGTGCTAGTAAAGCAGTAGAGGGGGAGCAGGTAATGCCCGTGTATCCATCCGTCTTTGACTACGCCTCTCTCTTATACGGTTATCAATAAGAATGACATAATCTATGACATCATCTAGAAGAACAGGCAATTCCCTGGATGCTATTTCATCCAGTATGTAGGCGGCCAAACCCTCCTGAAAGGCTGTTACGAGGGCATCATTATTCCAAACCACTTCAGCTGCTAGCGTGCGGAATTCGATAGTATAATCCGCTACAGATCTATTACCCTGTCGTACCCTAAGCAGAGCTTTGCCAGCAGAGGCAACCCTACCGGGTTGATCAAACGTACGTTTGAAAGCTGTCAAGAACTCTACAAAGGACATAGGAGATGTATTCTCCCACATGGGGTTAGCCCATGCTAAAGCTTTCCCGGACAGGTGGTTAATCAAAAAGGCAATTTTGGATCTGTCAGTGGGATAGGAACGTGGATTCATCACCAAATGGATGTCAATTTGGTTAAGGAAACCACGACACAATGCTGGGTCACCGCTGTAGCGTTGTGGCGGTGTCATGTGAACAACATGAGCAGGAACGGGTACCGGAGTGGGAATGGGTTCGGGCACAGCAGCAGCAGCCTCCTGGACGGCAGGTTGCAAGTGTGCAGTACGAGCCAGTATGGTTTGTAAAGCTTGGGCAAACTGGTCCATACGGTGGTCCAAGCCATCCATTCTAGCCTCCTGATTAACTAGGAGCTGTGGTATGTCAGCAGGTTCCATTATGGCCCTGTTGTAATGTCACGATTCGGGGAACCAAACACGCCAACACACACACACACACACAAAGTGCCGTACCGGACCTTAGAGTGGCGGGGCTAAGCACACAAAGAATAGTCAGGAACAAGCCGAGTAAGGGGAACCAGAAGACAGAGTAACGTGAAACAAGCCGAGGTCAAAGGGTAGGAGAAAGTCACAGAGTCGGATAACAAGCCAGAGAGTACGTAACCAGAAGCACAAGTTCAGAATCAATACTAACAAGCAAAGACCACAACAGGGCGAAGAGGAACAGGAAAGGTAAGTATATAAATCCAAAGGTTAATTCTGATTGGATAATTTCCAATCAGAATTAACAATCACACGTGGGAGATATCTAAACCTCCCACTGTGATTGAGGCACTGTGCCTTTAACGCCGGGTCAGGTGACTGACCCCGGCGTTGGTTAAAGTGGGCGGTCTCCCAGCGTGCAGCGTCATGCATGCTGCCGCTGGGAGACACAGAGGAAGAGGCGGACGGCACCCGTGGGAGAGAGGGTGCCGCCCGCCGAGCACACGGCTGAAGGGGGACCGCGGACGGCTGGAGGGTGAGTGCCGCGAGCGGACTGCAACCTCCCCTCGCAGCCGCCCGCGGGACCCTGACACAAATAGAGCTAGATTCTATTAGATTAAATAAGTTATGCCTTTTAAATGGCATTTCTCCCATATGAGAAAATGCTATTCAATTACAATCTTTGCTATTAATTATTCAAAATGCTATTCAAATAAGCTTACCTCATCTGATATAATCTATCACTTAATATGGATGTGGGTCTATGCATTATTTGAGCAATAGGTAGAGGTACTGGGGTCTAGGTGTCGAGTCCCCAATTTATGTTTAACTGCTCAAAGCATATATTGATGGAAAATTAAGGAATGGCACCGAAATACACATTTCACCATAACCATTGCATTAAGGTGAATAGGAAATAACCTGGTTAAATGAAAAGCTATATCCGAATGAATGAGTTTATTCTCGAGATGAATGGGAAGATTTTTTTAAAAAATATTTAAGGTTCCCTAGTTAAATGAGATTCTGTAGATGGATGGGAGGTTTTTGGGATGAATCATCAGTAGAGATGTTGCGAACTGTTCGCGAACTTCCCGCGAACGGCTCGCCGCGGTTCGCCACGAACCGTTCACGGCGAGCTCCGGTCAGCTGACACATCCCGGCCAATCTCCAGCAGACCCTCCCTCCCAGACCCTCCCAGGGTCTGCTGGAGATTGGCCGGGATGTGTCAGCTGACCGGAGCTCGCCACGAACGGTTCGCGGCAAGCCGTTCGCGGGATGTTTGCGAACGGTTCGCGACATCTCTAATCATCAGTGCTTGAGATCAAACAATCTGAAACCAACGATTTTATAGTTCATATGCATTGGGTGAGGTATGCTTTTGAGATTTTACTCATTAGAATACCTTGAAAACAATCCTAGGTTGAGTAGAGATGTCCCAATGTCTGATATCTTGATGTCTAGACCGGTGTGGTTTGACACCGTAGCATTGTGAACAAATATCAAGTCTTTGCATAGACTTATCGATGCTTTATAAAAAATGAATATTTAAACCAGTGTCCTCTTCAAGTGAAATTCACATCTATTGCCTTGTTCTTGATGATGGCTCCCAGCTCTGCCTGTGGTCTGTGTGAAAGCCATGGCAGATGTGTTTAGACAAGAACGTGTTTGATTTCTAAACAGGAAATATAAATTCCCAGGCGTTCATGCAACATTTCTGGAGTTCTAAAAAGGACGTATGCTTCCTTGGACTGGCCAGATGTTCCCTCTTTATTCATTTTTGGGGAATACCCAATCCCGTGCCAGTGGTACTTAATTTGTGATCCTACCATCGTCCATTGCTTGATTGTGTTCTAATAAGTGAAGGACAACCCCCTTCATGTTGCTAATTATACTAATTCTTCAGTTCTTTCCAGATTCAGGGCAAGTGGGATAAATTAGGGAGAGTCAGACCATCTGGTTCCAGATGTGGGTGTAACACGTAATGTCCCTTTAGGGGATAATGGAGGGGGCAGGATAGACCGCCCTTGGTACTGTCACTGGGCTATGTTCATGAACACCATGTGGAATTAATCTAGGATAACCAAATGTTCCCTTCAAGACCATTTGAAATAAGCTGAAAAAGGCTGTGTTAAAAAAAAAAAAAATCTAGGAAAAGGAGGTTTGTTTAGGAAAAGGTAGTCTTATTAGCCCAGTGAATCCTTTTAGTGGGCAACCTACCCATAACCTTAAATAAGATGACATCAACAGAATAGGAAAACTCCTGGACCTAGACTAATCTCCATACTGCGGAAGTGAGGGGCACGGAGTTCTGAGATGGCTTTGATACAGTTTTGCTCATCAATACTCTAAAGTTGTACAAGAATAGCTAGCTATTAAGGCTCTTTGTTTTGTTGCTGGTTTGTGTGGCTCTTAGAAAGTGAAGTCACTTGGTGATTGGACATATTCTCTCAAAGGAAATCACTGAGAGTGCAAGTCGGAGCCGAGTTTGGTAGTAAATCACTGCCCAGTGGCATGATATCCCTGCCAACTGCCTGACGCCTCATTACCAAATCCCTGCACTCTTCCTTCAACATAGAGAATTAGACAGATAGCCCAGACAGCTAATCTCTCAGTAGGGAACATGTCTAAAGGCTCTGGGCCAGACTGCAGACGAGCAAGGATTAAACATTCAGTTAACCCCTGTGTTTGTGCGTGTCTGTGTGTTTGTGTGTGTGTGTGTATACAAAAAAGAAAAAGGAAGGCTGCGCTGCTTGGAATGCAAAGTTTTGCACACAGTGCCACACAGCTGTTTAATTGAAGGACATCGAGAAAACACAAATGCTTTGATTACCATTTATCAATGCAACCTGAATTATTATTTTTTTTCTGTTTTGTGCAGTCTATTTGTCATTCTGCATCAAGCAACAGGAGGATGGGGTGACAGCGGCATAGAAGTATTTTTTTGCTAAGGTTTTTTTTTTTTTTTGGGGGGGTGGAGGGGTGGTTAAATTGGTTCCTAACCTTGAACTCTACTGTGACCCATGTGTGTCTATCAGTGAGAGTGAATCCGTGATCTTAAAGGGTTACCCCAAGCACCATGACCACGTCAGTGATTTGAAATGGTGATGGTGCTCAGAGTCTGTATGCACAGCGTTTCACTATGCTCCTTTGCTGCTGGAGGCGTAACTCCAAATAATTCAACAAGAGTTCCCGACTGGTTAATGTCAATTTGGTGCACGTTTCCATGCACAGACACTTATTCTTTGTCTGATGATACTCTCAGCCAATCAATGAGTGGCTGTATCAACATCCGGCTTCCGCGGAACAGGAGACCAGGCTCATGATGGGACCCATGTAATAGGACCCTATTTTAATTTATACACAGGAAAAAATAATTTCCTTCCAAATCAGCATTTTTCCCCCTAATTTTGGCATTTCAGTTATGAATTCACTACAATTCGGCCTTTAGTGAATAAAGTACTTTCCCGAATATCCTTGACCAATATTATTTTCGTGGTTGCGCAGCTGAAATATACGGCAAACAGGTCTATCGTTAGGGAAAATAAATCCAGAAGCTGCTTATTGATCAACATCTCGGCTGTAACATGGATGAATCTTGACAAAGACAACATAAACACCAATCAATAAATCGTTTAATTGAGGTTATACACTTCTGAGTCTGCTTCCAAGAGATGAAGCCTCATACGTGGATTCTTATTATCCTGTTGTGTGGGATTCTGAAAGCATCTTTCTTTTCTTTTCATTTTTTTACTCCTTTCTTTTTCTGTTCTGCTTTTCCTTATTTTTTTGAGTTTACATATTTTCTATTACACAAAACAAAAGACAGGATGCATGACCGATCATGCATAACTTTAAAAATTATATTTTTATTAAATACAAAGATAACGCTCACAATGTCCCCAAGCATTCACCTGGATCTCATGATAAAATATAAAAAAAAAATATCTTATTTCCATAATGTGGTAGAAACAGTCTGCACCCACTCTCCAGCAGGGGCTGGCTTGAGCAGAAGAAATATATCTAAAGGAGTCGGCGACATTGAAGGACACTACAGTATGATGCATCCAACATAGACATTATGGGTAGAATCTGTTGGCGCTATAAAAATGGCGATGATAATAATATTACATAGATTACTAAAACCACGCAACCTTTACCTTGTCCATCCAGGAGAGGAGAGACTACCATTCCTTCCTCCCCTCCACCCCCCCATGCTTTTTTCCCCCATCCATCTTCCTCCCATACCTAAAGTATTTCTAAATTAAGTTATGGCTTCAAGGGGCTGGGGAGGGGGGCATTGTACAAACCATGGTATTTTCTTGTTTAACCCCTTAAGGACCAAACTTCTGGAATAAAAGGGAATCATGACATGTCATGTGTCCTTAAGCGGTTAAACTGAAAAATTCTGTCCTGTACATAATGTCAAATCCTTACTGTATAAGATTGCTGTAACAAATAACTTCTATTTATATATGCAAATACAATGTGCTTGACTAATTGAAATAAGATTGTCAAAAAAACAAAGCAATCGGGCTTGCAAAAGTAAAAAAAAATAATGACAGCCACCAAATTAACAGAATGTCAAATAGAAAACTTGGCTGTAATCATCATTTAGAAACCGCACTAATTAGCAGATAACAGCTTTATTTTAATATTTTCAGCATCAGCTGACTGTGCAGTGCACTGAATTATTATTTATTTTTTAGTACATTCCTCAAATAACCAGGTGTTAAACTTCTCTGTCTATTTTAAGGGTAACTGCAGTTCGGATGCGGGTATTTTTTAATTTAGCACTTCATTGAAAATGCTTGTTATTTTGTTTGTGTGCATGTGAATACGTGTACTGTGCGTTTTGTTTATTTCTTGTAACGTGCAAGATAATGCATCTTGGACGTAAAAACCCAAGGGCAGAGTAGAGAATATTCCTAACCTCAACATCTGAGGAAAGGGATTTAGGGGTGATTATTTCTGATGACTTAAAGGTAGGTAGACAATGTAATAGAGCAGCAGGAAATGCTAGCAGAATGCTTGGTTGTATGTGGAGAGGGGTTAGCAGTAGAAAGAGGGAAGTGCTCATGCCATTGTACAGAACACTGGTGAGACCTCACTTGGAGTATTGTACACAGTACTGGAGACTGTATCTCTAGAAGGATATTGATACCTTAGAGAGGGTTTAGAGAAGGGCTACTAAACTGGTTCATGGATTGGGGGATAAAACTTACCAGGAAAGGTTAAAGGATCTTAACATGTATAGCTTGGAGGAAAGACGAGACAGGGGGGATATGATAGAAACATTTAAATACATAAAGGGAATCAACACAGTAAAGGGGAGACTATATTTAAAAGAAGAAAAACTACCACAACAAGAGGACATAGTCTTAAATTAGAGGGACAAAGGTTTAAAAATAATATCAGGAAGTATTACTTTACTGAGAGGGTAGTGGATGCATGGAATAGCCTTCCAGCTGAAGTGGTAGAGGTTAACACAGTAAAGGAGTTTAAGCATGCATGGGATAGGCATAAGGCTATCCTAACTATAAGATAAGGCCAGGAACTAATGAAAGTATTTAGAAAATTGGGCAGACACATTCTATGTTTCTAATCTGGTTGGATTTTTCTAATTTTTTTTTCTCTCTCGTTTTCTTTGATGCATCATGGGTTTGTTCAAATTCATGCATTTTTGACTTACAAGCTGAGCACTGAGGAATATATATCGCGAGCACAGACGCAGTTTTCAGAAGTCTGTTCTAAAACAAAGGGTCGTTTTCGCAATAAATCTATATATCTAATCAAAGAGCTGTATATAATATTATTATTATTATTATTATTATTACTAATCTTCGCATTGTAATAGCAACAACGTATTCCGCTGTTTTTTTCAAATCTTACAAAACGGATATAAAACAGATGGTTATTTTGGAAGAAACCCAGAGGTGAAGAGGGTCTTGGCTGAAGGAGCTTGCAATCTATAGAAACCTGAATATCCTGTTTTTTAGTGCTGGATGCAACATGTAGCCAGGTTTATTCTATATAAATAATATAAATGTTATTCTGTAACTGTCCACCATACACTCAGTCCAGCGTTGGCTTTTCACAGCCTTTTCTGTCTCTCCCTACCTGTGCTGGCTGATGGCTTTTGCTTGTTAAAATCATTGTTTCACTAAGCGTTCTGTTTGCTGCAGCATTGGAAACTCCAGGCTGATAAAGGCACATAACTCGCAAAGCATTATCAAACGCTCATCCATCATCACACAGGTCCAGACCCCTCTCTTCAATCACCCTATATCCCCTACGTTCTCTCACCAAGCTCAATAATCTCCTGAGAGATCAACCTGTCAATGCTTCAAGGAGAAGGATTCACAGTGCTATATTTGTAACTCCACAACTGTGATTTTCCCAAGGCAGCTTACATGAGGCCAAACATGGCCTTCCTAAGCCAAGTCAAGCTGCTACTATCTGCCACGCAAGTCCTGATCGGTCTCCTTGCTTAACTCGTTCCTTGATCTCGACCTGCAGCTGATGAAAGGGTATTTGCCAATACAGATTATCTTTTCAAGTGTCTATTTTAAAGCACCCCTATCGCAAACCATACCGGATTATTTACCAGAGTCCGAATACCAGTCTGGCTTAATAAAAAAAAATAAAAAATAATGATAATCCTGTACCATCTGGGGCATTTGGATGACAAAGTCAAGATATTGATCCGTGTATTTAATGCCTGGATTTTGAAATAAAGGCTCCAAATACATTAGAATATTCACTAGTCAGGATGAAACAAAACAATTGTAATCAGATGATGGGAATTTGCAACCGAGTGTGCCAATCAAATGATAGACAGAATCAGCCGCTGCCTGCAAAATCAGTTCAACCAAATTTCCAAAATGCGGATTTTTATATTTAAAAAAAAAAAAAAAATGTAAATTTTTTTATTTTTTTTTATTTTTTTTTAGAGAGTAGTGACTGTCCAATATATTATGTTATTATTTATATAGCGCCAATATAAAGCAGTGATGTGATGACATTGGAAATGAGCTGCATGTGTCAAACCTGGCCACCTCCATAGTACATACATTCAGTCTCTTATACAGGGCTGTGTAACCATCAATGTGTGCAATTTACAGAGCTTAATCTTCCATCACCCCAGAAATCTAATGTTTGGAGGTAGGCAATTAGCTGCTAATAGGAGGTATAGTCTGAAGGCATTGGGTGCCAGGGGGCTCCCTAATTCATTAGTTTTTAGTGGGACAATCCTGATTTTTGGGTCTTGTTCCGCCGTACTGACTTTATTATCTGGTGTCCCACATTTGCCGACTTTCTTAGATGCACTTACACTATGTTCAGGGCACTAGGACCCTATAGAGAGCACTGAAACTGCTTTCCCTGCGTTATCTGCCCTCCGTGGGGAGGCTAGCCTCTTTTTGGTTGGAGTAAGTGACACAATCGCCTCACTGGCCCGTCCCTTTCGCCTACCTACGGCCGGCATGCAGTTTCTCTGGACACCAGAGTTGGGGGGATTTGGGGGTATGCTAATCTGCTGGGTGGACAGTCACACACCTCGGTCCCGTATCGAGTGGGGTTTCCTTTGTATGAGGAGGAAAGTTGTGATTTAATAGGCATGTGTAATTCGTGTAACTATAGGTCCAGGTACCTACCGTACTCAGGGAGTGGAAAGAGTTAAAGTAAGATAGACCTGGCATTGGGTATACAAACCCACCTATCTAACAACTCCATTATCTAGTCACTGGGGTGTTGGATGATTCAGAAGAGCTCATTCAGAAGAGCAGAATACTCTGATATCAGCAGGAGGATGTGTTGTCTTTTTTTTTTTTTTTTTCATGACCTAATTCCTCCGGCTGTCTGTAGGTGGAATTCTGTGTTTTGATTTTTGTCCTTTTTATTTGCGATACCTTGATCTCACCATGTGACGTATACTGTGGCATGCTACACTGGGGGGGGCAAGCAGAGAGATCTTTGTCTATGGCGAATTACGTGGGTGCGTCAGCTTGAACAGAGTACAACACAGGACATTTAAAGAATGTCTATAATAAAGAATACATGTATCTATTCCATAATGGCGGTATCCACTATCCCTGTGTATCTAATAACATGTGGCAGGGTAGGGATTCATACAATTAATTTAGATTTAAAGTAAATAGTGCACACATCTTGAAAATCTTGCAGGAGATGCGTACATGCAGCTATTAACTCATTGCATGGAAAATGTATATGCATCTCCTAATAAATGCATGCGTTCTTTCCTTGCAACACCTTTAATACTCCGGATATCACACCAATGAATAAAATAACCTGTAACTTGTGTTAACCTTTTTCCACATGATGTTTCATTTTGTTTTAAATGTATATTAAAGATTTCAAAATTGACATGACATAATCCAGTTCAGTCCTGGCACTGCCAAGGCACACAACGTAATGGAAGAGAGGAAACAAACCTTGTTTGAGCTTCTCCTACTCTCGCTATGCTCTGTACTGACTGACAGGTGTAAAGGGCAGAGGAAGGGATTGAACATACTTCAGTGTCCCTGAGCAATGTGATAACAACAGATTTTGTTTTCCACAACGTGAGCCAGGGCTATCACTTTTATAAAGTCAGTGGATTCATCACAGATCCCGTGAGGTTCTCTTCTGGGTTATGGTCCGATTTGACTGTGTTTGAATACATTTCCTGGGCTGTAAATGTCATTGTTAACATACATTTAAAATGTAAGTGTGTGTGTGTATATGTATATATGTGTGTGTGTGTGTATATATATATATATATATATATATATATATATATATATATATAATTATTATTTATTTTTTTAAACATTTATTTTTATAGTTAGCCGCCTAATACCACCTTACAAAATAGTCTAGATAAGTGGAACGTTTAAAGCAGATCCAACAAATAAAGTGCATCTATGTTTTTTCAAAATGTGCAAAAAAGTGCACTTACCACAGCAAAGTGCTCAGAAATTCTGTACAAAGTTTTAAATCTATATGCAGTGCAAACTAAGTATATATTATTTTAAATCTTATTTTATTTTTTTTTGCACATTTGAAAACACACAGATGCACATTATTGGCTTGGTGTTTCTGCTTTAAGGGCTCCACTTATGTTGACATACCTTTTATTAGGTAACAAGTGAAAATGTAACATTAAATCAAGTTAAGAGGTTCTAAAAAAAAAAAAAAAGGATCTAAAATGAGAGCATTGAGTGCTGATGTTTCAAAACAGCTATAAAAGTGCTTGACGTGCTAAGAGGCAGCTTTCAACACCGTCACAATCCGAGGGCAGGTGTGTTCTTTGGCCCTTGGAATCTTTCCCTAATAATAGCTCGTACAGATGGCATTTAAGACACTACAACAAAGCAAGTGATGTGGACCAAGAGGCCATCGCCCAGCTTAGAGATAAAGTATGTGATGTCAATGGCAGGAAGCCTCGTTTGACTGATTTAAATGAATTCTTGGGTGCGCCAGATTGACCGTTTCCTGTGTACCATGAGGTTTATTCACCAAACAGTGACATAGTGAGCTGACGCCAGATCGACATAATTGGGAAATGTAGATAAAGGCAGCCACGTTGGACCATCTCAACCAAGTAAAATCGAGACCGCAATCTAGCTGGGAAAAAATCTCCAGAATTCTGCATTTAGGTATAAATTGTTGGCAATTGGAAGTGAAGGCCAAAACAGCTGAATTCTCCAAGTATGCTATGTTTGTCTTTGGCTACTGTGGCCTAAAAGTTAAATTCCACATTGAATTTACACTTTAGTGAATAATTTTGATTTAGAGATAATTCTTGCTGTCAGTAACTGCTGATTAAAAGTGTGATTTCCAAAGTACATTTTGTATTTCTGGATCCTATCAGACAGCAGACACTAGCTACAGGGCTCAACATTTCTACTTGCCAGTAGCCACTGGCAAGTGAAAATCCAGCCCTGGTGAGAAGTTTAGTACTGGTGAGTTTGACATTCACCCTCCAGGCTTGCATTGGCTCGTAACTTTTAAGACCTGGCTTGTAGCGTAGGACTTGAAATTCAAGCCCTGATAGCTAGATAATTAAATCCCTGGATTTTATTCTTAGTCACTCATTAGGTACTCATTCATTGAAAATATGATTTGTGTACCTTACTTGTCAGAGTCTCCATTAAAACTTAAATTAATAGAACTCTCATCTCCCTACATCAGGGTCTCTGTACGTATTCAGACAGAATATTACAATTTTTTTCGTTTCTTGGTTAAAGGGACACTATAGTCACCAGAACAACTACAACTTAATGTAGTTGTTCTGGTGAGTATAATCATTGCCTTCAGACATTTTAATGCAGTGTTTACATTGCCCCTAGGGACACCTCCAATTGGCAGTGTTTACATTGCCCCTATGGACACCTCCAGGTGGCCACTCCTCAGATGGCCACTGGAGGTGCTTCCTGGTTCAGTGCTGCACAGTATGCAGCTCTGCCATTCAGTGTCTCCACGTTCTGCATGGAGACGCTGAATTTTCCTCATAGAGATGCATTGATTTAATGCATCTCTATGAGGAGGCGCTGATTGGCCAATACAGCATTGGGCCCCACCCTCTTGCCGATTTTAGCCAATCAAATGCTTTCCCCATGGGAAAGCATTTGATTAGCTAAAAATGGGTAATTCTGATTGTCACCAAGGGGGCGGGGCCAGTTCCGGCAGACCCACGGCGCTAGAAATAAAGTGAGTTTTCATGCTTGTAAGGGGGTGGGGGGGGGCAAGCCACCTTAATGGTAGGTTTTGCACAACAGGGTCAGGAATACATGTTTGTGTTCCTGACCCTATAATGTTCCTTTAAAGAAGTGAAGGGATAGTGCTAAATGCAAATTAGAAAAGCCAACAGCCAATAATCATAGGCGTGCACAGGGGGTGTGCTGGGTACGCTAATCCGCACGGCACGCCTGTGAGTCCTGCAGGAACACGTGGGGGATTTTACAAATGTTGACGGATGACCGATTATATCAATGAGATTGAGGTAGACAACATCTAGGTTGGGGCAGTGCCCAAAAGGTAGATCACCTGATGTTGACGAACTACAGCTCCTATGAGGCTTTGAATGCCTTTTAAAATGCCTTTAGAATGACAAATCATTATTGAAGCTGTTTTAAAACCTCAGGGGATCTACCTTTTCGGACACCCCTGGCGTAGGGTCATTCCAAGATGATTAAGAACCTTACTTAATCTACATACTGTCCTTCTCATACAGAATGTAGAGTTTAGTCCTCTTCACAGTATTCTCTGTTCGTTTGGCACATAAAGGGTTGGCAGTGGGATATTTATTTTGTTTTGTGCCTGAAAAGAAGTGGCATGCAGAAGTGATGATTGATGATGGGGTTTGTGGAGTCTCCTGATGGAGGTTTGATGGGGTCAGCGAGCTGCAGTCTCTGCACTTCTAACTGGTTTGGCTAATTACTTTGGAATAGCTACTTGACTGATAAAATAATTCTGCTGGAAAAGCCATTTTCTTTGCTCTCTAGTGATGGGATTATATCAAGAGCTTTTCAGCAAGATAGTTTGCTCTCTGACAGAGTATGAACAGGCTTTCTAATGAGATTAAACAAGGTCATTATCTAGAAACTTGGATTGATCGACAAGGAACAAATACATCTGGGTTTATCCACTAAACAGTGAGCCGAGAACTCAACGACTATAATAGGCAAGTTGACTCCGTTCCCAAACTCAACTGTAGTCACAGCAGCTATTTTATTATTTTAATTCTGTAAAATTCATTGCCAAATATTGAATAAAATGCATTGTATCTAAGGTCTAATTCCAAGTCAGGTCGTCTGTGCCAAGATCAACAGTCATTGTTGCCATATAACATAACCTGGTCTATGCACCAAAACCACATCATTAAGAATAAATAGACTTGGTGCTTCCAGTATTCCTCTCAGGCTTTGATGAAGTATCTCAGACAGATATCGCTTTGGACTTTCCCTCTGATGTTTGAGGTTTTTTTTTTGATTGTTGTCCATCAGTTTGTATGGTGTCCTGGAAAGCATGTAGACGTATCTGAGAACCCTATAATCCACTCTTCTCCTACTGTTTGCTTTGACTCACTTGACCTTCCTGGCAACCAACTCCAAGTCTCTGAAGTGGTCTACCTTGCTGGAGTATCGGCTTTACATATCCCAATGCCATGCATGAAGGCCTGGTGTCTAACAATGCCCTCATGTACTGTGAGACTCTTCCCGTGGATAATGACCGTGCTGCTTGTTGTGACGGCTGCACCAGGTTGCATATTCAGCCTGTTTCCAGCATTACCTGTCCATTTTTAATACAAGGTTTCTAAACCTTCCTTTTTCCTGGCTACAAGAACTACAAGCTAACTATTCCAGAGATCCTAACGACATGTACATAATAGAAAAGGCTAGCAGTGAATCATGGGAAATGTCATCTCACAGCAGGCGGAAAGCAAAGCTGGACAGTCAGGTGATGGAAGGTAGAAATGGCACAGATCTCCTGCTAGAGTGTCAGTGACAATAGGAGATAACCGAGTAATACCTGGTGATTAAAGGTTTACTCAAAGCACCATAACCACTTCAGTGTTTTGAAGTGGTCGTGGTGCCTGGCATTTCTGTGTGAAGCGTTACGCTGTGAAAAGCTTCTTATACTGAGTAAAAGCCCATGGCCACCAAAGGTGGAGAAATCTAGTATCGTGGGGTGTCACGAGACAACCCAGATATAGAGTACCAGTCTGGCTAATGTCAATCTTGTGCAAATTTGTTTGCACTGTGTGCCTTTCCTAGGCTGAGAATCGTCAACTGACCCCAATGTATGGTGACTGCATCGACTTCTGACTTTTGCAGCTCTGCAGAATCAGAAAAACGCATGGAGCCTTGCAGCCTGGCATGGACCCAGGTAAGAGGGCAACTTGTTACTAAACAGTTTGCCCTATTACTGGGGCACTGAGCCAAAATATACTCCTGGCACTAGGACACCTGCAGCGTGTTTTAGTGGTTATGATACTTGGAGTTAACCTTTAACTGTGTGAGAAATGGAGAAAGTTGAGTAACTGAAATAAATAAAGTGTTTTATTCTGCAGTCTGATTTTACTGTAAAACCAAAAGTGTGTAAGCGCTATAGAGGCGATGAAGCACTCAGTTAAGCAGCGCTGTACCACATTTTACTGTAATCTCACAGTGAATTGGCAGATTGTCTAAATGTGTTCCCTTTAAGAACTGTTTTTTTTTTTTGTGAAGCCAACGTTGAGGCAGTAAAGAACAGAACATTTACAACAATTGTTGCTTGTATTTTGCCCAAGAGGAAAAGTTCAGATCAGGCAACATTGATTATTCTAATAATTATTTTATTTACGTATTCACAGCTGAGCTCTTACAAAAAATACTGACAGCGAACACTAATTATCAAGATCACATAATGTCTGGATGTGCCCCCTTTAAATTCTGTGCTGATTTGACAGTGCACTTCATCCAGCTGTTTCTATTCCCTCTAGCACATAACAGACAAATTCTCTAGGAGTTGAGATGATTACTTAAGAGATAATGTTACTTCTGGATTTAATATAAATATAAAATAATAATTCTTTATGCAGAATCTGTCATCAGGTACCAAGCCGTTAACATATTTCCAAGTTGAGCGGAGTCATTATATTCGAAATTTCCAAGGACAAAAAAAATTAAATAAATACTGAAAAACTAGCTTTTTACCGGAGAATAATAGTGGTCTGGTTTTAGCATTTTTTTTTCTTTTCTTTTCTTTTAAATTATTTACAAATTGCTTTACTTACAGAGAGTGTTTCCTCTCTCCAAGTCCTCATTAGATAAGTGGAGCAGAAGGAACACGATTTTGTTTGTACAAACACTCCATGAGATGTACTGAATATAATTAGGATCAGAAAAAAACACATTCTGTATCAAACCGAAATAGATTAAATTATTATATATCCGTTATGTTACAACGTAACCATTAGGAGCTCTGTAATGACATGGATCACGTCATGTTATCTAGACCATAAGTATCCACCAGTGTCTCCTGGCAACTTTCACCAAAGGTGGAACAATGCCAATATTTATAAAAAACTTAATAAATCCTTTAACGTAGATTGGAGTGTTCCTGTCATATTCGAACAACTTTAGGTCAAATTGATTATCATCACGTTTCGTGTCCAAACTGTACTAGCAAATGCAAACATGTTCAAATGGCCACTCTGGGAACCATAGTAACTTTAGCAGAATCAAGTTGTTATGGTGCAAGGAGGTCCAACAATTAAACAAACCCGCTTAATATCAAACTGTTGTATCTACAAGCTTTTGTCTTGTGATTTGTAACCGTAACTACAGTTTATGCACTGTAGTTGCTGTGCTGTCCCTCTGGCAATCTTGTACCATGCTTTGCCAAAGGGAAATAGGAATTGTGTCACAGATATCACTTTATTCTGACGTGAGTGTAACTGGCAAATAACTTGGCATACTGGCATCATGGAGTAGGCTTGCTCTACTTGAGGAAGTAGATTGGTGAAGGCAAGAGGGACCAGAATTGTCTTGGCAACAGTGACAGGACAGTGCTAAAGAAGAAGTGAGTTAGGCTGTTGCCTAGGGCCCAGGGGTCTTGGTGCCATAAAGATCCCTATAGTAATGGTGACGGAGATGCAACTGGTCAATTTCCCAGGGCCATGTGAGAAACTGATCCTTTTCTGTTTACAAGCCTTACATAGGTTGGCCTTACATAAACATGGTACAGCAGGCTCAATGACCCCTTAAAGGTTTTACCCATTACATCACTTAGCCATAGATAAGTACAGTGCCTATGATAAAGTAATACTGTAGCACATAATCTTTATGGGCCAGCTTGTACCTCTCTCTCTCCAGTGATAGCTATGTCCATTTACCAAGCCACGCTGGAAAATGTTAACAAAGAAAAATGATAATTCTACGTGCCCTTTGTTTTATATTATCCAAAAGATCTCTCTATTGGAATTATAAGAACAAATAATAACAAATGCCAGCTGTTGCTGTGAGATGTTTGTTTATTATGATGAATGTGAACGGATCTAAATCCCCAGAGGTTATTTTTTAGCCGCAAATACAGCAGGACAGTTTCTTGTCTAATGATAATGCATTAAATAAATAATATATATTCTCGTAGAGTGCAGGGAATAAGTAAAAATACATCGTTAGCCTGCTTGTGGCCGAACCACTGGAAATGTGACACTTGCCCAATGAGCTGACATATCTGAAAAACTCAAAATAGATTGATTGTAAGATCTGCGAGTCTCTGGGGGGAAGAAATGTCACTCTGCGCGGTGGAAATTGTATATTTGCAAAAGGGCAGAAAAAAAACCCAATCTATTTTGACAATCTTGATGTTTAGTAGGAAGATGAACTGCAGGGAAAACTATAATTTATTTATTTATGAAGAATTTCACCAGGAAGAATACAGAGAGAAGTCTCTTATTTTCAAGTATGCTCCGGAGAATGATACACAGATGGCTTGTTATTGTGTATAGAGCAATATAATGTAATATATCAAAGTATATTTTGAAGAGATAAGATTTACAGGCGCAATGGGGTAGAAATTTGAGAGTAGCTTTCATCTCTACAAGGCATACAGATTACCTCAGTCATGGTTTAAGGTATAGAGTGAAGCCGCAATGTGCACAAAAGTTATTTGTGAAATTGTTAAAGGGTTACTCCAACCTGCTGCAGTGGTACTGGGTGTTATGTCGGGAGTATCCTGGCGCCGTTTCCCGTAATGGCAAGCTGTTTTACATTGGTTTGTCCTCTTAAGTGGTCCTGACAGATGCCAAGGATCCTCTGAAGTAGGGTTTTCCATGCATCCTAAGTTGCATATAATTGACTTTTGCCAGTCTAGAACCCTAGCTAGTGTTATACCTCCACCAGTAAAGGGGTTAAACTTTGTATGTGCAGAGTTTCAAAGCAAAAAAACTACACAGACTTCAGGCACCATGACCACTTCAAATTACTGAAGTGATCATGGTACTTTAAATTGAAAAGATTTCTGCCAATTTTATGCCAAATCAATTAAACTGGAAAAATAGGCGAGTTGATGAATTGTGCTTTATTTATTTATTTTACGAAAAATAAAATAAAATGTGCAAGCCGCACATTCTGGTTTATTTCATTTTTGGTCCAGTCTGAATTCACATCACAGCATCTGAAGTAATGTTAAAGAAGAATCTAATTTTTGCATTATATATATATAATAGCATTTTAAAAATGAGAAGCACTTCTAGCATTGTGCCCCTTTAACAAATTGGCCCAGTTTATTCTAGGTTTTTTATAAGAAATGAGCTGCACATTTATTTATCAGAGGATTAAAATTTCTACTTTGTCCATTTTACTTTCCACTCAAACCGTGTTTACATTTAGCAGCCGAGCGAAGAAACAGTCTTTGTGTTATGTTTATTCATAAGATTATAGGATTCAGTGGGTTCTAAGACATTAAATTGCAATTTCTTGGCTCCTTTCAACTTTATCTGTCAAAGAATATTTCACAACCTCCAAGTGTCCCAGAATCGACAGGCAGTCTTGATTTTACGTCCCGGTCCTGTCATTCTGTGTTAAAGGACCACTATAGTGCCAGGAAAACATACTCGTTTTCCTGGCACTATAGTGCCCTGAGGGTGCCCCCACCCTCAGGGTGCCGGGCTCTGGATAGAGGAAGGGGTTAAAATCTTATCTTTCTCCAGCGCCAGGCGGGGAGCTTTCCTCCTCCTCTCCTCGTTCCTAGCCACGTCATCGGCTGAATGCGCATGCGCGGCAGGAGCAGCGCGCGCATTCCGCCAGTTCATAGGAAAGCATTTGCAATGCTTTTCCTGGCACTATAGTGCATAGCCTGAGGGTGCCCCCACCCTCAGGGTCCCCCTCCTGCCGGGCTCTGGATAGAGGAAGTGGGTTAAAATCTTATCTTTCTCCAGCGCCAGGCGGGGAGCTTTCCTCCTCCTCTCCTCGTTCCTAGCCACGTCATCGGCTGAATGCGCATGCGCGGCAGGAGCAGCGCGCGCATTCCGCCAGTTCATAGGAAAGCATTTGCAATGCTTTCCTATGGACGCTGGCGTCTTCTCACTGTGATTAACCCTCAGTGTAAACATAGCAGTTTCTCTGAAAAAGGGGTTAACCCTAGCTGGACCAGGCACCCAGACCACTTCATTAAGCTGAAGTGGTCTGGGTGCCTTTAGTGGTCATTTAATAGTCTATTGTTCCATTTCTTAGGAAACCAGAGAAAAATTCCAAAAAATCTTGCAAGGACATTGTTAGTTGAACTTGCGCTGTGCTAAAATAGTATAAAAATTATTTGCCAATATAAAGTGGGCATTTCAAAAAAACTGGGTGCCACCCTGGCGCACGATCATGCCTGCTTTAAAAGGGCACTTTACCCAGTAAATGCGTTATTATAAATAATGCATTATAACTCATAAAACCCAATATTTCAAAAACTATAGTGATATTTTTATTGCAAATTTTCTGCAAGTCCACAGGATTTGCAGCTTCTGCAGTGACGTATGGAGCTTCCATTGGTTGTACAAGGATGGACAGTAAATATATGATTAACCCTGCATAGCATAAGATTAATTATTTAGCCATATTTGCCACTCTAGGAGCCTGGAGTGTCCCTTTAAAACATTTTACAGACTACAAATCCTGTTTCTTGTAGGTTTTTTTGGTGTCAAAAGGATGAGTACGCAACACTCTTCATTATTCTCTTTAATATATTCCCTCCTCTTGTGAACTCTGTGTGATGTATGTATCCGGTGTGTGCGCTCTGTCCGGTAGGAGCCGTATCTAATTTGATGCATGTAGTGTAAGCCTCTTAGTGTGACATGTATCATGGTGACAGGTTTGTGAATTTGATATATGGACCTACTAGCGCTGCCCCATAAACAAGGTGTCCTTTAGCTATGCAAGGAGACAGTAACATTTAGCAAGATAAATGGTAGCTATGGAGTCTCTGCAATGACACAGAAGAAACCTTGTTACATTCTTCACCTTAAATTGGATTTCCTAAACCATGCTATAGTTTGAGCCTCGGGCTGATGAGTGATGAAGGGGGTGCTATGTTCCACTGGTACACATTGCGTGATCTAGAAAAATTACCACTCTTGTCATATATTAATATGGTAACGGTATAAGGAAGGTTCTTCAGATGTAAGAGGTTGGTGCTTCCCATCACAAGAGACTATCTTTGTCATAGAACCCCCTCCTCCCTTTAGCATGGATGCTCCTGTCACCTTTTCTGTTATGATACGAAGAACACAAAGCCCAATCCCTCATCACCTCTCCTATGCTGTGAAAAAGTAGAAGCAGGGATTTAGAGCTAGCTGCATGCACAAGGTTTATGGGACCAGTTATGGACTTCATGTTTAGGCTGAGTCTCTCTGACCTACCTGACCTCTAAATGGGCCTTTGACACGCAGTGACCTCTCTTGGTGGAGAGTTCCTTGTCACAATAGCGTTTCTCTGTTTGAATTTTTTGTATATATTTTACATGCCATGGTGATTGCAGACAGAGTGCTTTTGTTTTGTTTGATCTCCTGTTTCCCACAGTCTTTTGGAGAGTGATATGTTATTGTACTATTATGATGGATGCTCATCTTTGTTAGAGCAGAACTGTTTCCCCCCACCCCCACCCTCTCCTGCAAAATTTATATTTCATAAAGAAATACTCATACTGACTGTGTTGGAATTTTACAGAAATTCTATTCCACTCAAAAGATATATGGAGACAAAAAGACTTCTTTGTCTCAGTATTTCCCCTACGCCTGACTCTTCTTAAAACTAGGTGGAGCTACCACCACCAAGTGTCAATCCCCCAGCCGTCACCAGTGATGACTGCAAGGAATTGGCTGAATCTATGAAGGAACCTGCTGTCTCTCATGATCCTTCATAGACCTCTTTGCTGTACTCTTGCACATGCTGAAAAAGGATCAGCCAGAAGAAGATGGCAGCGTCCACGAGGGACAGGTTCAGGTAAGTAAAACTTACTTTTGCCTAGCCCTACTTGACCACAAGGCACCCAACAGCGATGTCACCGTCGGGTGTCTTTGCAAATCATGACATTGACTGTGCCGCTTTGAGACAACATGTCTTGGAAGAGGGGAAATTAGAATCTGGGTATATCTACAAGTCTAGTGGGTAGCGGAGGAAGATCTTACCCAGACAAAGTCTAAGATAATATATATTAAGATTATAATGCAACTAGCCACATCTAGATCCAAAGCCAGGCACCGGTTACTACTATCCCTTGTACATTTGTTGAAAATAAGGACATTGCAGTAAGCAAAGTAAAGATATACTTTAGGAGCTGTGAATGGAGGACAAGTATTTGGAGTGACGCTGTGATTTAAATGAAAAGTGACTTTACCTGAAGGGTGAAAGAACGCCAAGCAGTGTGTAGCCTACACATGACATTGTTACATTGGTGAATAATGAAGCCACCAAATTAAAGGTAGGAGAAGTGCATGTACATGGAACCTTGCTAGCTGAGCTCCAGCTGATGGATGCTCTGGAAGGTAGTGAGTTCTTCTCCAGTTCTTACAGCAGCGTGTGCAAATGGTAGCCGGAGAGATCCATAAACCTCTCCAGTCTCTTGCCTTGTGGCCCCGAGTCTATGTATTACAGCTTTTTTTTTTGGCTGGGAATTGCAAACAATTTTTCATAATTTTTGTTCTGACATTGCCAACAAAATGCTGGAAGGAAGGGCTTCAAAATCTACTTTTCAGACAGAATGAGAATTGACAGGTAATTGTCCCCAGACAGCGTGAAACAGTTTGCCATGCTGCGTAATGTTATGATGGATGATTCTCAACCTGATGTTCACCAGCTTTTCGTTGGTAACTTCATGAGTTTATTTATCATGTGCTGGTTTTTTTTGTTTGTTTTTTTTGTTTTCAATAATATTTCAGCTTTACTGGTTTTACAGTAAACTATTAGACACAGTGAAACGGCTAATATTGGAAGCCCGATGGCTCGGCTGGATTCAAAATATCTTAAAATTAGTGCAATTTCATTTTCACCTATAGATTGTACGTCCGTTTGAAGTAATAATACCAATAAGTGCAATTGATTTTTTTTTTCTTAACATTAAAGGGAAAAATAAATTCCTATTTTTTGCTTCTTCATGGTATTTACTTGTATTCCATATTCAAAATGGGTTTGTGAGGTCTGAAAAATATAATTTAAATAGAAACCCATACCACTGTATTTATGGGGATTTATGTTTAAAACAATGTGGGCAGCTTGGCTGCATTTAATATTCTTAAAAATAGAAAAAATAAACATAACAGATGATTTACTTTTGTTTTGGTGTAGTGGCGAGTTTAAACTAGCTGACAGAAGTCGCCTTTGTTTGGTCTGTAGATTGCCCATTGAAAATGTGTAAGTGTCAGCATGTGACCTAATGTGCGCAAGAGATAATGCATGCGTGGCAATTATGCTTGCAACTAGCCATACTTGTCGTTGTGAAAACGAAAACATCTCTTGCACATGTGTTTTTAGTGAGCATGCATTAACAACTCAGTGCTTTGAACATACAATTCACAGACCAAAAGGAGGAAAAATACATCTTTTCCCTTTTAAATGTAAAAAAAATGAATGCGGAGGCTCAGATGCTGGACTCCATGCCTACTTTTGATCCATATAAAGAGCTTTATTTATAGTCCACTATTGGCGGGGGCTGACATTAAGGTGCACAGCTGGTTTCCTCACAACACACAACTAGCACGTGCGAACAATGTATTTACTTTTGTGCGTGATGCAGGTATAAGTGGGTATAGCAAAATATTAAACCCTCATACCACCAAATTTAAATTATGCTCACACTTGATCATGTTGCCCACAATATTTTGCCGATAAACCCTTTCTTTCATGCAGTTTAGGATGCACCTGTTCGTAAACAAGGGATGTAACAGATTTACACATGTACCATGTGTTAATTGCAATATAGCTTATGATTAAGCCCCAAGCGATGTGAAATCTGTAAAACGAATTTGTGTTTGTTTGCTGTGCCATGCTACAATAAAGCGTGTTTACAAAAAACAAAAACAAAATGTAATGTTCATATTTGATCATTTATAGGAACAAGGAGGCAAAATGAATGTAATTGCCACGAGAGCAGATACTAAATGACTCACACGATTCTAGCAGCTATCTGCGTTTTTTGACACCGTACACACTTTGTCTACAATGAAGCAGGGATTATTTTTGTTTTTGCTTGTTTTTATGCGCAGTCATTCGTCCTCAGAGGCCGTCAGGAAGACATTGTGAGTTTAATCGCTAAACAACTCACGGTCATAAATTGAAAACCAAAAATGCTAAATGTTATCTAAAAATGAGATTTGCAAACATTCTCGAATCCAGCGAACGTAATAACTTGGTTAGTGTGCCTAATTTATACAATTCTGCTTTTAATTCAGGACAATTTAGTGTTTAGTGGATAAACCCCTTTTGCTCTTTGACTTGTTCTTACCTATGGATCCCCAGGTATCAGGAAGGGTTCAGCCAGAGCCGCCATCAGGGGGGCATAGGCCGTACCCTTGTAAGGGGCAGGGCCTGGTCCAGTTTAAGGGTCCCCATGAGGCCCTGTAGTGGTTGTTGTTCCTGTTAGGAAGATAGACATATCTTTCCCAACTGGATCACATTGGCCAGCACTATTAGGGTCCTTCAGGTCAAATGGAAGCCAGCTCTCGTGGACAGCAACGCTAAATGATGTAATATCATAGATAGCACTTCCTCCCAATGTTACTACGGAGCTGCTGAGGCTCTGATGCAGAGCTCATGGGGGAGTGTGCGGCAGATATGGCGTTTCATCTTATTGCCTTCTTGTGACTTCCATACTCTCCTTGGAAGTAGGACTGAGCTGGGAGTAGAGTTTAGGGGCAGGGGATATATTTTTTATGCTTACTGTGGAGGGAAGAGGTTAGGTTTCTGTGCATGCGTGTGTCTTACTGTGTGTGTGTGTATCTATATTTGTGTGTATGTCTGACTGTGTGTGTGTGATATAATAGTAATCTGTGTACGTATGTCTTTGTGACAGGAATATGTGTATGTGTGTCTAGCAGTGTGCACCTGTGTGTATTCTGGTAGAGTGTATGGGTATATCTAGGTGGGGGACATATACATAATTGTGTTTGGGTTTTTAAGGGGCCCTAAGATTTCTGATGGCAGTCCTGGATTCAGCATTGCGACAAACATTGTTTGTGATATCTAAAGTTTCAAAGCATAAAGGGATACTATAGCACTAGGAATACAAAGGAAATGCCGGTATAGTAATGGTTAAAATACCCTTACTGTACTTACCCAATTCCAGCACCGGTGTAACTTGGTGCCCGGTTGGCTCTAGTGGCTGTCTGATTGACATCCACTAAAGACAGTCTTAACCCTGACAAATAATTAATTATTTCAGTTTCTCAAAAAGGGGACTGGGACAAAGCACCTGTCCTGATGGAAGTGGTCTGGGTGCCTATAGTGTCATTTTAATGATCTCTGTATTGGCTCTCCGTATTTTTAATTATGGCGAAAATCACTGCTAGTGTGATTTTTCTCTGCACGGTTGTGTATTAGCACAGCTCAGGGTGTCTGTAAAATGCCATCCATACAGGTTTTGCATAATATAATGCTTCCACTATACCTCAAATTTGGTCATTGCATAAATTATCCTATCTATTAACGTTTCCTGCTCATCAGAACGTAACAATTTAATAATACACTGGGATAACAGAACTAGACGCTGTAATTCATCTTAAAAGCATGACAGTCTCGAGTTTAAAAAAAATGACATTCTTGCACTTCAAAAAAGGAGTAATTCCATTGATGCGTGTATATGCACAGCTGAACTGCTTGCAATGAAAAAGAATTAAACCGGGAATATTATATTCCAATTTATCAGAGTTATTCACTAAAACAAGGCTTGTGTAGAATAGACAGAGTAATTTGTAAATTTAGGCCATCATTGCAAGAATATTTCCAATTTGGTTATTGTCGCATTTCTTAACTAAACTCCCAAGTGCAATAAATAGACATTTGAATGAGGCTAAAATAGCCAAGTTATGGCGACAACCGCGTTGGAAACATTTTAAAGGTCTTGCATTTCCTCCCCTCTCAATTTTCTCTTACAAGCTGGTCATATTAAGATCTCACAGTCAATTGTTTATTTAGAAGAACATGTAATGAGACTCCATATGTGCCTGTCACTTTGGATCTTGTCTGGTCCGACTTATGGAGTCTGGTTTCCAGATCTGACTGCCTCAAGTGTTCTTCTTATCAAAGATTTTTGAAGAGAATGATGTTCATAGTTTCATGATGAATCGTTCGTACACCAGTCCAGAATCAGAAAGTCAATGCACCATCAAATATCATTACCTGGAGGCACTTTTCAACATCTTCCTTAACCATTTATGGGCTAGACAGAACCTATATTGGCTCACAGACTTGTGCACAGCAAAACAATCTGGTTGGCCAAATGGATTCATCGAAAGGGAAAAAAAAGGTTTTGTGTTCAGAAATACATTCATACGATGTTTTGGCTTAGATGAATTTCATCCGTGCAAGCCATTTTGGAAAGTGCTTTGGACTAACCAAAATGTAGCGAAAATGGGCCGATCATTGTCCTGTAAAATAGAAAGATTATGTATATAGTTTGCAGTACACTGATAGGCGCGTTGATTTGCAAAAAATGTTACTGCTCTTCCTCGTTTTTTCTCTGCTGGTAATTTCTCACTTGATCTGTGAATAAAAAATCAACATTTAGTAACGGTCTCCTAACCATCCATCAATTAAATATTTTTTGCAACAATCTTTTTTTTTATTTTTTGGCAACTTGAACAGAACTCCCAAAGCAGTTGAAACCGCTCACCATTACTTTGTGATTTGTCGATTACTCTGTTCTGGAATTCAGATGACCCACTGATCACCCCAAAATTTGTGGTTAGTTTGAAACGGAGTGCACAAGTTTGACTAGTCTTATTGCATAGACCAAGGGTAGTCAACCTTTTAATACCTACTGCTAACTTTTTTGTAGCTTTGTTGATGGTAAAATTTCCTTACCGCCCACCAGCGCTGCAGTAACAAATTTTCTAGAGCAAGTGCGATTTTTTTAATTTTTTTTTATTTTTTTATTTTTTTAATTTATTTATTTTTATAATTTATTTTTTTTAGAAAGGAGGATTTTTAAAAAAAAAAAAATTACTTACATTTATCTATTTTTTTCCCTTTTTTTTTCTATTCTACTTTTTTTTTCTATGTGTGTCTGTAAGGTGCGCTTTGTGTGAAGGGTGCAATGTGTGAATGAAGGGTGCTGTATGTAGGCGAGGGGCGTAGTGTGTAGGGTGTGTGAAGGGTGCTGTGCGTGTATGAGGGGTGGAGTGTCTGTGAGGGGACAGTGCGTGTGAGGGGGCAGTCTGTGTGTGTGTGTGAGGGGGGGCAGTCTGTGTGCATGTGTGAGAAAGGCAGTGTGTGTTTGTGTGTGAAGACTGTATAGGGTCTATGCTGTGTGTAGGTGGGTGAGATGTGAAAATCCATCTTAATGTCTCCCCCTCCCTTCTTCTTATCTTTTTACCAGGGAGGGGGGACATAATGCTGCAAGCCCTGGTGGTCCAGTGGTGCCATGTTCATTTTAGCCTGCAGTTCCTCTGGCTGCAGGCTGACTCTTCTGTCCTCCTGCGAGCACAGCACTGTATTGGAGCATTGCCATGGTAACATGCGGCAACGCTCCAACCAGCCTGCTCACGGGAGGAACACCGAGGCTTCCAGGCCCTTCCCTCCCTCTGCTGGAACTAAGTGCCAGCAGGCCGGTGAGGAAGATCTTTGATCTCCTCACCAGCCCGACAGGGCTTACAGCAAGTCTGGCTCTGCATGGGCCGGCAGGGGAGATGAAAGGATCTCCCCTGCCAGCCTTGGTCCATGGCCATCGAGGACCACTGGGTGTTTTTTGCAGAACCCACCACCACCCACCTGAAATCCCACTTGTGGGCAGTAGGGACGAGGTTGACTAACCATGACATAGACAAAATTAATCCTAAAATTCTTGGCCTGTATCCTTGCTTCAAAAGTATGATGACTACCATGTAATCTGCAGATATGCCTAGTTGTATAAAATCATGCATCAGGACAAAAGACAAAAGCAGGAATTATTCTCTGTTCTTCCTGAATGCTTTCAGTGTACATCTCTCTAAGGTTCCAAAGGCCAAAAAAGTTGGATTTTGCCATTGGCGAAACTGTAGCAATGTTTTATTTATTTAAAGCAATGCTATAGGGTCAAGAACACAAACATGTTCCCATAGGAAAGCATTTGATTGGCTGAGACTGTCAAAGAGTCAAATCACACACATACTCAGAGATACACACCGACACTCCCCTATGGCTGCGTGCCCACAGCAACCTATGGCTGTAATGTAAACACTGCATTTTCTCTGAAAAAAAACTGTATTTACTGCAAAAAAGCCTGAAGGGACTAATTATACTCACCAGAACAAATACAATAAACTTTAAGACTGTGGTTTCTGGAAGCCCACCTAAGGATAGCACAACTTGTTCTAGTATCATCATCATCATCTACAAAGAGCAGAATTCTCTCACCTGCTTTACTTAATAAATGTTCCTTAAAATATAACTCTTTTCAAAGAAATCTGAGCCACTGCATGTCAGGTTACAACACCCAACAATATTTGGCCAGTCCCAAAACGGACTATTTGCTGAAAGTTACAATAAATCAGATTCACTGTTGTCTTAATATATTTTTACGAAATACCTTAACATTTGTTAGTTTGTAGAAATGACTTTAGAGATGCTTCCTTTTGAATCCCTTCTACAGGGACTACGTATTTATCTGCACCATATGCCGGGTCCTTCGTCTAACATGATCTAGTTTGCAGATCTCATACAGGAGACTTTTGAAGCAGAGGAAAGGACATTCGTGTTTCATTTCCCTATTAACAATTCCCTGTAATTTCCTTTCCGATATCACAGCGTGCGTAAAAGGCATTGAACGCAGTGCATCTGCTCCCAGTGATAAGATGGTGGAACAAGCCTCGCACTGCAGGACAGGCAGGAGAAATTACTGTTCAGCTTATTAACAGTATCACCGAAAGCAGAACAGACTAAAAAGAAAAAAACCTTTCCTGCACTATTTTATAACTTTATGATGCAAAGGAAGAGATTAGGAAAAATAACTTATACTGTGTGTGTGTGTGTGTGTGTGTGTGTGTATATATAATATAATTTTTTTAAACATTTTTAAATCATAAAATCACTGGTCCGTCAGTACGATTAACGTTTACCTTTTGATTGTAAGCTTAGGGGGGCAGGGTGCTTATAACCTACAGTATCTTAAGTTTCTGTCTTTTAAAGGGGCAGAAAAGGTAAAAGTGTGTAATGGTTTGCTAAGGATTATAAGAAGCAGATTACGTAGTGTAACATCACATCTGCCAACGGTTAGCTACCTGTGCTACGTGGGTTCAACTACTACTTTTTTTTTTTTTTTTTTATTGTTTGTTATGATTAACTTTTATTTAACTCCATCTGCTCAGAGCAACAAGAGACACAAACATTAGATTAATTTTATAATGATCTACAATGAAATGCATGACCAAGAGAGGAGTAGACAGTCTTCAACTTTTTGTGTGTTGTTTCTCTCACATTGTACTTTAGGCATGGATTCTCAGTTCCTGTTATGTGTTGCTGACAAAGAACACCCCAATATGTGTTCAGCAACACCTTCCGAGTACAACAGTACCCCTAATGTACAGGTTTTATGGGTTTTTGCAAACGTACAGCATATATATCCACCGGAGAGAGACGTGAGCTCTCACAGACCCTCTGGAGCTATGAGCTGTCTTCACAGCCGCAGAGTCCCGCTGGCCACCTGGAAGTCCGCACCGACCAATAGGAAAAGGGTCTCCCAGTCAAACTGGTTTGCGCCCTACTCCCGATAGGCCAGCGCGAGTAAAGGGCTCAGCTTGAAACACTGATGGATCGCTGCGTAGCTTAGGCTACCAATAGAAGAAGGAGCCACGATGCAAACTGGGTTTGCACCCTTTTTCCTGATAGGCCGGCGCGAGTTAAAGGGCTTAGTTTGGAACACCTCCATGAGCGATAATTGGTCGCCGTGTGGTTTAGGCGCAAAGTATGAATCTACCAGCCTAAACCAAGTGATTCTGTGGAACTATTTTCGGGTATGTACAGAGCCTCAAACCCAGACTTTGTATGACGATTTCTCGGGCTCTTTACATCCGATAGCTCTGCTTTTTGTAGGGATCATAGCTGGGATCAGGAGCTATTTATGGATATATTATGTGTGGGGTTATTTTATGTCTTTTCTATGTATTTGGATATTTTTATGCCTTATGTCCTTTTTGCACAGTCGTGCTGTGGGAGTGTTCCAGGGTGGGTTTGACTGTGTCCATGTTTTGTATAAATTGGCTGTACCTTGTCCCATTAAAATTATTTCTGTTTTACCCTTCATCAAGTCTTGGCTGATGTTTGGGTAGCTATGAGCTCTGATCACATTTGGGATTTGGGGAGACTTTTATAACGCAAGTACTCAGTTGGAGTATAGGGGATCCGTTACAATCTGAAACAAAATTTTTTTGTGCATACGACGTTCCCTTGTGTGCCTCCCCCCCCCCCCATAAATTTAGGTCTTTGCACCAGCACCATAGATCTTTTTATTTGTCTTTTTTTTTTCTTAGATCTAAGTATACCATATCCATCCAGTGACAGCTGTTTCAGCCTATTTGGTCTCCTCATTGTAGAGATGGCATTGGATTTATTTCTGAAAATTTATAGCACTGCATCGAGAGAGATAAATTAAGTCATAGAGTAAAAAAAACAAAAAAAACCGAAAATGACAGGAAACGTTCTAGTTGAGCTTGTTTGCGCTTTTTTTTTTATCTGCCTTTGTAGATGTTGGATCAAATAGAGTTGTCTTAAAGGTAAATATGCAATAAACACAATAAATTAGTAAAACAAAAAATATATATTTACAACTAAAATGCCTTGTTTAGTTGTTCTGCCTGCAGCTCCAAGTACATCCCTCTCTCTTTAGGAAAAGACGATTCAATCAGGAGCATCTCTTTCTAGCCTTTGCATTCTACCCTTCTCCCATAAACCTTTATCAGCACTATCATCACTGCTATCATTATACACTTAAGCTGGAGAACGGGGCTGTATGTACAGATTGGCAGAACAATGGTCCAGGTGTGAGAGTCAAGTTGTGCTTGTGGCGCATGCATGCAGCACTACCTACCTGAACAAAACTAACATTGCGCACGCCAGAACAGCCTGATTGACAGTTCCGATAGACTGCTTTTAAACTGTAATGATGTTTAGAATCTGCTGCTGTTCTAAAAAAAAAAACCTTTTTAAAACGGGGAGAAGGTGCAGAGTGATCGATGCCCTTTTTTCAAATATGCAAAGTTGTGATGGTGTCTGTACTTTTTTTTTTTTTTAAATCATGTGAAAGATTAATTTCAATTAGCACATCACGTTTTCTTATCCCGTAATACATGGTACATTTGGTATAACTAGACACGTGCTTTTGTAGCATTAATCTGAAATCGAATAGATTCCACCTGAAATAAAAACCTTTTAAATTTGTTTAATTTCTTAATAATTAGCCATTTTCATTTTTTTCGTGATTTGGAGATCGCATTCTCCGTTATTTGACCACTGGGCAAAAGCTTCTCCGAACCAACCAATTGGTTTCAAAACAAATCAAAAAGGGGTTTTCCCCAAATGCATCAATTTCACCGTCATTTAAAGACTAATGTGACGAATGCATATGCCTATTAAATTTGTAATGCTATCCATTTTACAGCTCATTTTCAGATTTTGTAATTGAACACTGCATTCTCACAAACAGATTAAAGAAAATTGTTCCTACTGAATGTGAACATTATTTTATGAAAAAAAAAAATTTGGGATATTTTTAAAAAAATATTTTTTAATTCTATATAATGGTGAATTTTTCACCTCCTATTTACTTTACGATTTCCTTCACTCACGCAGCACATTGCAAGACCAGTAGTTGCAAGCCATTGACTCTCACCTCCCCTACATCATGTCGCTGCCATCGGGGACTTGTTAATTTGGTGTGGGGTGGCTTTCTTTTTACAATTTAAAGATGAGCGGGAAGGAGGAGATTCCAGAATGGTTCAGAGACGAATTCTCAGCCATGCGGACCGCAGATTAATTAGTTTGTCAAGAAATGAAAAAAATAAACTGCAGATGTCTTGCTAGAAATTCGTGTCTCTCATGCATCTAAATATGGAAACAATTAAAGGAGAGCAGGTTTATCTCACAGAAAATTGTTCTGAGATTAAGTGCGCTTAACCTATATCCGCAAGTAGCTGGATAGTCCTCCGTGGCGCAAGTTTCACTGTTAGATTTATAATGAAACATCATCGAGAGCTTTCTTCCCAAAACATATATTAAAATTACTGCTGTGCATATTTAAAGGGACACGGTGTCAGGATTATAGTTGATCCAGCACGCAGAATAATATCACACCAAGGACTAAGGATAACGTCTAACCAGACCTTAGAATGGCCGGACTTAACGTACCTGAAAATAGTCAAAATACTTGCCGAGGTCAGGGACACAGAACGTGACAATGATGAGGGAAGCCAGAAGTCAAGGATACTGGAAATCAGGGGAGTCAAAACGCAGCCAAAGTCAAATACCAGAAAAACACAATTAGGAACACACTCTCAGATAACCAGCTAGTGGAAACCACGGCAGGGCACGGTTTGGGTTTAAATAACCCTCCTTAGGCTGTAATTTATTTTCCACCAAACCTTTTATGAACCAGTGTTGTTTCCCTGAAACTCAAACCAGACCTCTTCCTTGTCATTATGATAATGTTGCAGTACTGCAGTGTCCATAGGAACCCATCAAAATTTGAACAACTATATAAAGTTGCGCATAGTGTCTAAGCTGCAAAAGTGCGTACATTCCACCATTGTTTACATGTTATCGTCATCCAAATTTGGACACAATTGTTAGGTTAATTTTGATCCAGGATGGGTTTTAGGTACCGATTATTGCTGAACAATATTGGACGGATTTGTGTGTATATATAATGCAGAATGACCAACACGTTGAGCACTGCTGATGCACCCATCTATGAGAGGAAATATTTCATCTCAAGTACTTGGCGAACGCATTTAAACATTTACTTGGGTTTCATTTTGCACCAGCCCTCCCGTCATTGGCTCACAGAGCTGCTCTATCGAGTGATTGGACATTTGTCTGCAACTTATATTCACACCGAGTGTTCTACTACAGAGAGGTCAGATTTTCAGTGCTGGGAGACATATTATTTTGTTGCTAAAACAGTGTGAGGTCTGTTTATTCGAACAGTACTCTGTTTAATGCTTTAAGTTTATTAAAGGGACACTATAGTCACCTGAACAACTTTAGCTTAATGAAGCAGTTTTGGTGTATAGAACATGCAGCCTCACTGCTCAATCCTCTGCCATTTAGGAGTTAAATCCCTTTGTTTATGAACATTAGTCACACCTCCCTGCATGTGACTTGCACAGCCTTCCATAAACACTTCCTGTAAAGAGAGCCCTATTTAGGCTTTCTTTATTGCAGTTCTGTTTAATTAAGATTTTCTTATCCCCTGCTATGTTAATAGCTTGCTAGAGCCTGTAAGAGCCTCCTGTATGTGATTAAAGTTCAATTTAGAGATTGAGATACAATTATTTAAGGTAAATTACATCTGTTTGAAAGTGAAACCAGTTTTTTTTTCATGCAGGCTCTGTCAATCATAGCCAGGGGCGGTGTGGCTAGGGCTGCATAAACAGAAACAAAGTGATTTAACTCCTAAATGACAGTGAATTGAGCAGTGAAATTGCAGGGGAATGATCTATACACTAAAACTGCTTTATTTAGCTAAAGTAATTTAGGTGACTATAGTGTTCCTTTAAATCTTTTTAACGTGTAAATATTATCCTATGTATCGTCCCATGAATGCAGCATATGTATGGTTTAATGGCAAAATCAATAAACATAAGATTATTTAGGTAGGAACAAGCCAACTGGTTATTGTTTATTTTCTTTAAAAAAAAAAAATTGTTTTTGTAAAACTTTATTGTTCTCAATAAAGAGAAGATACAACATAACCGTTAGAATCCACAGAAGCATTTGAGGCAGGTGACAAAAAAAATGTATCCACAGGCATTTGGCACACCAACACATCTTCCAAGCAAACTTCTTAAATCCGGATCAGGAAACTGGAAAACCATGAGATGAAACCTACCATGTGTATAGATAAATCTAGAAGTATCAGGTTCTAAGCAGCCAGGATATCAGCGGTACAGATAACAATACAGATAACATGACTGTTCAAAGATGTAGAAAAAAAACAACAAATCTATTAATGCATTCCTTTGTTACATTATACTGATGGCTAATTACACTGATCTTACAATGATAGCACATTTTGACACAGCAGATAATTCTAAATATTTCTAATAATGATTTGCCCAACCATCGGTCCTGCTATGGTAGGTCATTGCTTCTATATAAGATCATGTTTTTAAATGGATTTTTCTCTCCCAGCCTCTTATTGTCTCACTTTATAATAAGCTCTGTGTATTAGATCAGACTGATCCACACCACGCTCGCAGTTTTATCAATGTATGTATCATTCCGACTACATACAGGATATTGCACCGCTGAACCTTATAAAAAAAAAAGTTTATTAATCCCCGAGGCTGTAATAATAGCATATTTATATATAGGGATGTAAAGTAGCTATGGCTGTGAATAACATTAAGAAAAAATGGAAACGTTCGTTTTTGTAATTTCGGTTTCATTTATTTTCATGTTTGTAATTATCTTATTGAATGTAGCAAAGGTTGTAATGTTGGGTCTTTTTTATTATATCTGTTATATTTATTTGTTTGTCTCTTGCCGTGTGTCACACTGGAGCACACTGTATTAAAATGTAGCAATCTTTATTAGAAATATCATAAAAATACATATTATTATTATTATTATTATTATTACTGGCATTTATAAAGCTCCAACATATTCCGCAGCGCTGTACAGTTGGGAAAGACAACACAATTAGAACAGACTAATACAAAAGGTAGAGGGTTCTGCATGTGTGTTTACAATCTAAAGGTTGAACTGAGGAGATGAGACAAGAGGTAGCAGAGGGATGTGTATGTGATGGCAGAGAGAGATAATGGTATAACTGCAGCAGCTGATACATTATCCAAAAATAACATATATATATATATATATTATTCAAATAATCAATGGAAAAAATGCAAAATGGATATATGCACAAAAGTGAGAAAATAGACTTGAGTAATTGAACACAAATAATAGACAGGAGAGTAATTGGGTTACCAAATAAAAACTGCTCCCTAATATTCCAACACAAAGCCTTTGACAAAGTGTTTGGTATTCAGTATAAGCGCTAACAGTGGTAGCATAGAAAGATGTATACAGAGGTCTCAGAGTGTAAGGACAGTTTACCTTCTCCCTGGATGAAGTGCAAGCTGGAGAGGCTACCTTTTAAGTTTTCACAGCAGCCAGATATCCCAGAGAGGACCACGTCCATCCAGAATGTGCACTATAATACCATGCTGCCCATGGCTGGGTGCAATACAAGCAGAGTTTCAAAGCTGATTGGCCTACTGTCAGACAAGTAAACTATTTTACTCAAAAAAACAAAAAACAAAACATAGGCTGAGGCTAGTGGGAGTTACATTTATATAATGATATGATGAGGCAACTGAGTCTGATAAGAATATTTTTTCTCTTTTAATTAGAAATCCAGAAATTTCAGTAAATCCATGTTTCTTTGAGACGTTTTAAACTGGAGGTTTGTCCTCTGAGAAGCATTTGATTGGACAATGCCCAATAGTAACAAGGAAGTAGGTGCTGACCAAAGATGGGGTTTATCTTAATTGGTAGCAAAGGTTGGTTCTACAATGAATACATTACTATAAACATCACATCCAGCGCACTCACCCATCCACCAAACGGCAACTTCATTCAAAGCTCACAGAATGCAACAGTCCTACCCCAGCAACCTGCAATACCTGATTTTATAAGCTTTATTCACTTATTTTGGAGGGGGTGGGGGAGAGAGAGAGATTGTTTAATATTATTATTTTTTTATATTTCTTACAAACCCGTACACATTAAAACATAAGCACTTTTGGACATTGTTTCCCTTTTAAGTAGCACTGTTCCTGTCATGGTATTGTCAATGTTTCCTCCGTTTATTCTGCGCACGTTTCTCGGGTCCAGGCTGAGATAACCAACCACATTTATCAGCGGATGGAGATGCTAAAAGAACAAGGGCTCTAATTGGAAAGGCTTCTGAAATTAAAGCAGATTCCCATGTCCAATATAAATACTGAAATAATTAATTTCCTTAGAGAGGAAAAAAAATGAATAAAAAAGGGCAAATCAAAGTCATGTTGAACAATGAAATTCGTGATTCCGCCCTGAAAGTAAAAAAAAATAAAAAATTAAACAACCGCAAAATATAACCTATAAATAAAAAATAAACCGGTTTTAGTGATTCTGTTACAATACCGAAATTTATCAATTTGTTGCACACATTATTACGGTACGTCAAACTTTTGGCACAATTTAGTAAATCTGATGGGTTTTTTTGTTTTTTTTTACTTTCTAACCAATTTTTTGGAGAATACGCAATTTTTTTCAGTGAGGCAATAGATTTGTCATTGTTTTATCATTCTTTCAAATAGAGTATTGTTCTGTTTCACTTTTTTTTCTTTTTTACAACACTATAAATTTGGTTTTCTTAAATGGAATTATCAGCAAAAATAGCTTGAATTTACTATAAATAAAACCTTTTAGAATCCTTTAAACCGTGTAATTTTCTTTCTCAAATTTGGTGAAAAAAAGTGTTTTCTTTGCCAGCAGGGCTAGCGTGAACAGGAAATCTGCAGGATAGCAATGCAAAGAAACATAAATAAGTGTGAGCCTGTGGAAATCGTGGGATGCATACAATTATACAAGTAGGTTCTGCTCGCGGAAATGGTGGAACCCGGTCAAATATTAGACTTGTGCCTTCAGTTTCAAACAAATTGCGATTTATCTATATTATGTGATTGACGGGTCATCCGAATCACAATTCTAAATATAGGTGTTTTTTGGGGAGGGGCGGGGGGGTTCACTGCTCTTCCTCATTTTTTTTAATTTACATTTTTTAAATTTTTTATAATGCTTTATTTTATCGTGCACGAACAATACAAATAGGCAGGCAATGCCACAACAGCTGTCGCTTGCATTTAGGGCAACATTGAAAAAACATTTGTTTGGCATATCTAAACATCGCACATTTTATGTTCTATTGTAGAATCGCCGAGAATTGGATCGACACGTCAGTTATAAGATAAGGCAGACGACATACTAATTCAAATTTACATACTGACTTTTCGTGAAATTAGAGGGTCACAAGCTTATTTAAGGCTTATCTTTCTTATGTGTGTTTAAAAAAAAAAAAAAAAACACAAAGAAGAAAAAGCATAGCTAAACATAAGGTAAACAATCTAGGTAACTGCTTTAAGAAGGTACATTATGTTCATCTATAAGCCTGTCGTAAGCAATCATGTACATATTATAATCATCATTTTCTGTTAGAGTAAGAACAAGAGGTACCCATTGCAGGGCCGTATAGACAAGATTGATAATGCTGGGTAAAGCTTAAGCACTGCAAATAGAGTTAATTGCTCAGAGTATATAGTGAAACAAGTAGCGTAGTTAATGCTTATATGAAGTAGTGTCCACTGAGACTAATCCTAAGACATTACTTATATGGCAAAATAAACTTTGAGAGACAACAGGCACAAAGAAAATACATTGCTTGCTCATAATGCCTAAGCATCATGTTTTTAAAGTGGGGACTCCAGTTTAAGAGGAGCTTTACTGGTCAGTGATCTGTTCAGTCAGCCGGTACTCAGGTCTGGGTAGACCGGTGTGGAGTCTGCACTGGTATCGGTAGAGCAGTGTGTGAGGCTTTGGTTACTAAAGGATTCATAGTGGGAACATTACTCTAGCCGGAGTCAGTGAGGTGGGGATTCCGTAGGGCCTATAGATGAGTCAAACTGATTGTCGGCTGTGCAAGAACCAATCCCCGACTCAGTCCTTATTGTTCAGCCAATGCCGGTCCTGGAGGCCTGGCAGATGCGCCGGGAGTAAGGGCAGGTGTGTCGACTCGGCAGGATTCTGTCTCCATTAGTCCCAGTGCGGAGAGGAAGCATATTTAATGAGGAATGCAGAGTCCCCGTTGTGTGTGTCAATTGTGAAAGTGCCCCATGTTGCCATTTTGGGCCTCGCGCATCGCCATCTCCATACACTATTTGGTGGCGCTGTGTTCTTACGTGGCCCGTTCCCAGTCACTGCTTGCCGGTGCTGTAGTCTTGGGCTTGGTCGCTCCCGTGGCCCTGAGAGCCGATTTCGGGCTGCCGCTGTTGTTGATGAGGCTCCAGGAGCCTGATCTTGAGATAGCACCTCTACAGAGCTGGCCTTTCATGCGTGTGGAGCCTGTGGGAGTTTCTGCATCCTGCTGTGTGACCACCTGTGCCGGGCTTTGTAGCTTACCCTCTGTCTGGGTCTACAGGTCGGAAGGTTGCATACAGGCCTCTAGCTTCTTCCAGAAGGAGCTGCAAATTGCGGCTAGTCGGAACTCTGTTTCTGCCGTGGTGTGGGAGGCCTCCGCCGGTTTATAAGTCTCACCAGGATCCACAGGACGTTGTGTCTGAGTTGCTGTCTCGCCACCTAGCTGGGGGATCAAGTGAGGGTAGACTGGGATAACACTTGCCGGTCCAAGGGGGAGGGGGAAAGAGGGCCCAGAGACGTGTACCAGGCTGGTCGAAGAAGCAGGAAAGCGGCCATCTTCCCCGTGCCCGCCATGCTGGTAGGCCTCACCGTGATTTCGGGTGCACCTTTGTTACTTTGTCGCTTAAGTGGTGCCTGTGCGTTTGCCCTGGTATCTCCAGTCACTTGGTGGCCTTCGTGTGCCATTTCAATGTTGTTTTGGTGTCTGGAATCCGCTATTTTTGCCCCAAATAGCAGGAGCTGGTGAGGCAAGCACCCTCTCAGCTCAGCAGTCAGGCCCCACCCCCCTCCTTTTTTGCCAGTGGTTACTTCTTCGAACTTGATCGGTGACCCAAATGGCCTGAATATTGGCCCATCAGTACTATTTAGTAATATTTATATATTTGTCATGCTCTTTTGTTAGTCCAAATCACTTTTCCTGAATAGTTTGCAAAGCTGGAAAATACTTAAACTAAAATGCCACTGATGAATCTCTGACTACCAGTAAATTGTTTTAAAAAATTTTTACGGACAAGTTGATTAGGCCGAACTGCATTTTATATAGTCACAAGTTTAATAAAGATTAAAATATCGGAAATCAACCATCGCTACTCAGAACACTTTGACAACTATTATTTTACAAATCAATAAAAAAAAAATCAATCTAATTGAGCCCCGACCCACAGCAAAACCAAGTTTTACCAAATTTAAAATGGTACTGTCACTTCTGCATTTTGCATTATTATAGGATCCAAATGTTTTGCATTGGAGTGTCATTGAAAAGATCAGCTCAATGAAAATATACCATAAAACAAAGTAGAGACCACTTTGTGGTTTTTTTTTTTTTGGTTGTTTTTTTTTTTTTACGTTCGAGTAAATATTTGGAAAATTGGAGCAAAATGTGGAGCTTCAAATGTCTTCCACCTGCCATACTCCCGATGGCTGGTGGGTTAAGTTACATTATTTTTATACTCCCCAGTTGCTGTTTTATCATGTTTTCTCAACTTGGTCTGAAACCACATGAGTATCTGCAATGTGATCACCGTCCAAAAATATCAGAACTTTTTTCTGCCGGTAATTCCACTAAAGTTATTAAATATTGACTTAGAACTGAGCTTAAAGAGACTTAACATTTTGCTGATTTTTGGAGTAACTCCATTGATGTCTTAAAGGGAAACAATAGTGCCAGGAAAACAATGCTGCCTATAGTGACCACTTACCCGTGGTGGAGAAGTGGTTAAAAACCCCTTTTGTCACTTACCTTTTTCCAGCACTGATGTCCCTCCATCTTCACTCCTAATGCACATGCGCAGCAATGGCTGAGCTAGCATTAAGACTTCCTCCATTGGAAAGCATATATAATACTTTCCTTTGGGAGTTTGGGTGACGCTGGATTTACCTTTGCAGGGTTAAGGGACCTGAGACTATGCGCCAAGACCACTTCAATTAGCTGAAGTAGTCTGGGTGCCTATAGGTTCCAGATTCCTCCGTTTAACTGAATTTCTAGTGAAGACATCTTCTCATTTATAAAGTAATTCTTGTGTAGAATTTCATAGATCAATAATTTGTGAGAAATATGGCAATAGAATGCTAAAAATGACTATATAAATCTCAGTATAAAATTCTCATTTATACATTGTATCAGGTCACCAAATTGTTCTAATTCATGTTATCTGACTTTCTGTTCCATCCGAAGGGAGAATGAAGAAATGCCAGCCAAGCCAGCAGATGAAGGAAGCCCCAGTTCTCGATTTTCTAGCCTCCCACCGGGAAATGGACCGTGGTAATGGAAGTGACTGCAGTGTGGGTAACATCATGCAGGTACTACAAACATACCTGTCCGGGCATACAGAATAATGAGCGATTTAACATTACCAACCTTTATAATCTCATTATAAAACTACACTAGAATCATCGGACATTACCAGACTGTGTGATCCGATGTTACCATTCTAGAGAAACATAACGTAAACTCAGATGGCTGGCTGCACTTATTGTGTGAAATAATCCAGATCAGGTGTAGGCAACCTTTGGCATTCCAGATGTTGTGGACTAAATCTCCCATTATGCTATTACAACCATAATACTGACAAAGCATTGTGGGAGATGTAGTCCAAAACATCTGGAGTTCTGAAGGCCTACTCCTGGTCTTGATTCATAAAAGGAAAAAATTATCAGTCCTGACTCCATAATAAGGGGGAGCGGGCATAGCTTATTAGGGCTCATCCGTAATATTGGGGGGAAGCTTGCATTACCAGTGCTGAGCCATAATAAGGGGGACGATCTTGAATGACCCATTCTAAGGTATAATTACCCCCTTTACTGGTGTAAAACCAGATAAAATTTCACAGGGAGCATCTGAGTCTACAAGCCCTGTACAGGCACATCAACACAGTCACAGAAACCCATGAAAGAAACAGTTCTAGCCCCAAACTATTTACAATATATTAATAGACTGAAAACCAGGACTATCATTTACTTCACGAAAACAGCACCACAGGGAGCCATATAAAATCAATTCCCCACACAGATACACCATTTAAAAACCCATCAGTGTCCAGTGCCGCAGCGATAGTCTGGCAGACCATATGGGCGCACCACAAACTCTACAAAAGGTAACAATTTGTATCATCAAAGCGGAATAATACGTAACCGTAGTAATCACAATTCTTGGTTTTAATATTTATAACCCACGGTAAGACAGGAACGTCAGATCTAGATTTATATTAAACCATTCGAACAACCATTCTGAGAAAAAGCTAAATATCCTTTTCAGGAATACAGTGCAAATGCCAGCCTCAGAATTGTAACAAAATGTAACTTTTCAAAGGATAAATTCATTAAAAATAATTCCTTATTGAATGTTTAAGAAATTGGAATTCTCAAGGTCCCCTTTACAGAGGGGTTGGCTTCACTTTATTCCATGTTCTGATGGTACATACTACAGTTTAGAAACAAATGCAGTGGTTTAGGGGCACAGCAATAGCTTCTGGGAGTTGTAGTTCAATTGTTAGCATTCTGCTGTAGAAAACTAATAATTAAACTTCAACACCCAGAAACCATGAATTCCTGAACTGCAGAATGTTTGGAACAAATGGGGGGAAAAAAGACTGCGGGATGGGAGGGAAGGACAGAGGAGATGGGCTCTTGGAGCGAAACAAATATTTTATTTTAATGGTATATTTAAGAGCACATATTGACTTAAAGGGATATTATAGTCACCAGAACAACTACAGCTTAATGTAGTGGTTGTGGTGTCTATAGCCTGTCTCTGCAGAAAAGGCAGTGTTTACATTGCTCCCTAGGGACATCTCTAGTGGCAATCACTCAGACGGCCACTAGAGTTGCTTCCTGGCATTCAGCATCACTATGCTCTGTATGAAGGAGCGGAACATTCCCCATTGCTATGCATTGATTCAATGTACCTCTATGAGGAGTGCTGATTTGTGCAGCCATGGAGACGGAGCCAGCCGTGGCGAGACGGGCATGAGTAAAATCACCTTTCCAAAGTGAGGCCTGAGACCTAAACAACCATTCCAGGATTATAGTGACAGGAATACATTTGTTTTGTATTCCTGGCACTATAATGTGCCTTTAATTAATTTTTTTTTTTTTTTTTTAATGAGGATTTTGTATAATAACAATTGCTGTTGGCTAATACTGGAATCCTGGACTGTTCTTTAAAGGACCACTATAGTGCCAGGAAAACACTTGTTTTCCTGGAACTATAGTGCCCTGAGGGTGCCCCCACCCTCAGGGTCCCACTCCCGTGGCACTGAAGGGGGAGGAAGGGGTTAATCCCTTACCTTATTTCCAGCGCTGGGACTCTCCTCCCTCTTCTTCCGTCATCGGCTAATGCGCATGCGCGGCAAGAGCCACGCGCACATTCAGCCAGTCTCATAGGAATGCTTTCTCAATGCTTTCCTATGGACACTGGCGTCTTCTCACAGTGAGACACGGGGAAGCGCCTCTAGCGGCTGTCAATGAGACATCCACTAGAGGCTGGATTAACCCTCAGTGTAAACATAGCAGTTTCTCTGCAACTGCTATGTTTACAGCAAAAAGGGTAAAACCTAGCTGGACCTGGCACCCAGACCACTTCATTAAGCTGAAGTGGTCCTTTAAATTCTGAACAGCAACGTAAAATATGATCTGTGATAAAACTGAGCCTAAAGAGGGAGCGGAATTTTTGCCTTTTTTTAGGGGAGGGGGTGACATTCGTTTAAACTGTATATATCTGATAAGTTCTATTTTATGCATGAAAAATATATAACACGTACTCCTTATGCGACCTGACAATGTAGGCAGTTTCATTTCAGATGCTGGCAGTCATGGCTGCCAAATATTTTTCCATCAGCCTGTAGAAACAGACCTAGTGTCATTGCTTTCTCCTCGATCCTAGCTGTGTACAAAGCATCGCTTTGTGTCCCCTACTAATAAATCTCTAATCACATCTGTGACATTATTTCCTGGCTGTCCTTTTCTTTTTGTGCTTTTTATTCCCCTCTCTTCCACTTCCTATTAATGAAATACAATGGCCGCTCAGTGTGCACCGCATGCCTCGGCCAAAACCATTGGTTACCGAATGGTTAGTTCACACCGTAACATTTTCAGATAATCAAGGATAACCTTTGTTAGTTTCTCAAAAAGACTGCATTGCATGCAATAAGCAAAGCTCTATGAATAAAAAAAAAAGAAAAAACATTTATGCTCATTTTCTTAAAAAATTTTTTTTTTTCTGTTTTCAGCAGGCACCAGATTCTAGCTCATTAGTAAATCGTCTGCACTCTTCCACGTCCTCCTACCCCCGAAATGAGAAGGGATGGAAGAAGAAAGATTTCTAGGACTGTAAAATACCTCCTTCTTACCTTCGAAACCACTCCAGTTGGCTTATAGAACCATTAATACAGATGCAGACACAATTTCACTATACCATGCTGGACTGAATTGGCATTGTCCAGAGGAGCTTGACGTCTTCTGAAGAACAATGATGTGCCATTCAGTGAAGTTAGAGTGCTGAAAACCACCAGTGATATGGCCATAATAATGCAGAATCCACCAGAATTTTATTTATTTCTATGCTGTATCCAATACCATCCAAAGATATTTGAGTATGACCAAGAGAATAAAATATAAGAATCCAGAGATTTACTTTGCGGGAAAACACATTTTAAATTCAGTTTTGAACACTGATATTTTATTCTTATTATAACGATAATCATTATGTTTAAAAAAAAAAAAAGAAAAAAAAAGTGGCATTTGGATGGTGGTTTTAAATGTATAGGGGATGCACAATGGTTGCGCACTGTAGGGTAGATGGCAATGTTGAATAGATGGACAGGTGGCACCTAATAAAATTAGAGAACTTTTAATACCGTACTTGAGCAGGAAATTAGATCAAGATTTATTTTATTTAAAAATAAAAAAATATTTTTAAAAATGTAAAAAAAAAAAAAAAAAAGATGTGGACTAGACCTCGTGGATGGGCTGATAGTGTTTTGTCTTTTCGTGCTTTGAGTGAAGAAACATGAATAAAAATACTATTTCTAGCGTAAAAGAAGTTTGTATTTTAATTTTATGTGTTGGAGTATTTCTGTAGTTGATTATATTATATTAATATTGCAAACATCAGCACAAGAAAAAAAAATCTCGGTAGTTTTATTGTGCAAAGTTGTAAATCGATAAAGTAATTTCTATGCGGCAGGTCATTTTTTTTTTTTATAATTCTTTATTTTTGAGTGCATAAAGAGAAAGCAGTTACATATGTGTTTGTCATGCCCCAAGAGCATGTACTCACTATATAACAATAAACGACGATTCAATAGAGCATGACATGGGAACACAGTGCACATTTTTGTGTATGATGACATGAAAACTATTTTTCAGCATAAGTAGTTATGAGAGGAGGTACGAACTTGCAAGCAACAGCATGGTATGATAGTTAGATAACATTACATAGAAAAAGGCTGATTTACAGGTCTATCCGTAAGAGGCAAGACCCAGTCATAACATTCTCATAACTAAACTTGTTAGAAGGAAAAAGGAAAATAAAAAGATAAACATCAGTGATATAGCATTTAGGACATTTGGATATTACATGCACATTTTTAAGGGGTTAAGTTGAGTAGGTACTAGCTAGAGAGACAATACGTGTTAGGCATTCGTAAGGCATTAGCTAATAGCACGATTTTGATTAGGTTTAGAGTAGGTTCAGATTAATGAGACATTAGCAATAGGAGAAGACCACTGGTGTCCCGGTATTGAAGCCCCACAGTCCCCCGAGCACAGTACTTTTGTGTTGGATGTTATGTGCATGCTTGTTAGTCCCGCCAATTAACAAGTTTCCCTTTCGCCGCTGGTTCCGTTGTGGGAAGCGACCGCAGCCTGTCAGCAGGTTTCCTGCAACTGGGGGCGTCCGGTGAGTGCCCTTTCGCTTGTACTAGGCTTCGCGTGAGCCTTCAGCCTGTGTCCGCTTCTCTGTCGCTGCTAGTGGTCAGTAACGGTCTGTGTATTCGTTGGGCTGCGGTGTGAGGGGCAACCTCGCAGGCGGCCGCGGGGACCAGTCCTGGTCTCTGGGTGCCCAGGCTTGGGAATCCATGTGCTCCATCAGGCGCTGGTGTAGTGAGGAAGTCCGGAGGTAGGTGCGTCTGGCGGTACCTCGCATTGACGGTCGGTCTGTGCCCAGGGCTGACCTCGAGGCAGCCATTTTGTGGTAAAACTCCGGGTTCCGAGAGCATGGGAGGCGCAATGTGAGCGGTGGTGTCGGATCCCTCCAGTGGGGACCGGGATAACCCCCGCCGGTCCATAGGGGGGGAACGGGACCCGTGAGGAGTGCTTCAGTGCTGCTGCGTGGTTGCTAGAGTTGGAGACAGGACGGCGGCCGTCCATCCCGCTCCCCTCCCGCGTAGGCCGCAGGCCCCAAAGTTTCTTGCAGCCTTCAGGGGCCTCAAAACTCCTGATCTTGGGGTCAGCAGTAGCGCCCACAGCTGCCTGTTCACTGTGCTGCATTTCTGGCTGTGATGTGCCATGTTTTGCATTCTAAAGGGCCAGATTGTGCAGGAGCCTCTCCCGCATGCGACCGGTCAGCATGGCGGCCAGGCCCCGCCCCCCGCGGCAGGTCATTTTACCAATTTACCCAAGTATATGTATCAATTGCTTTACGGTTCAATATTTTTAAGTTCTTAAAGAGACTCTGTAGGCGCTGTAGCTGCTTAATCTGGTGGAAGTAGTTATAGTGCATAGAATACCCTGGCAGCGTCCTTATGATTAATGTTAACACACATATGTACATCTATATAGTTTAATGCGTGACGACCGTCCCCAGCAGCCCACTTTTTCGGAGTTGCTTGGGCTAATAAGGAGGCATTAGTCTATGCATCAAAGAGTGCTGGCGATTGGCCAGAGATCCTCATTGACTGTTTAACTGCTCGAAAATGGTTTAACACTGACTGGAGAGACAGTGCCAGGGGACTGTAAGCACTATAACAAATTCAATGCCTACAGTGTCACTTTAAGTGCCAATTTTTTTTCCTCTTCGCACACAACGAATGCATTACCCAATGGCAACTGGTTCACTACTAAATCCTCGCTGCACTCTATACCGATGGCATAAAAGCCTGCCAGTCAGGCTTGTTACAGACATCATCAAAAACGTACGGAGCAAGAGACAATATAGCATTGTTCTACACAATTTGCAACAACTAGATCAATATTGGCAATTTTACACCTCTTCCCCCAATGCTTCTATGTTTTACTTAAAACAATGTCTGACCCTCCACCCTATCCAGAACAGCATTATCACATTTCTCTCTGAATCTGACTGTTTGTTACTTTAAATTGTTAACCCATGTTTTGACAAGAAAATGTATTTTTGAAATAGCCTTGGCTGACTTAGTAAAAGCCCAATTTAAAACAGTAGGTGTTTTCAGCTGTTCACCGAGCAATCAGTCTCTATATTGAATTACCCCATGAATGCAATCAGAAGCATTCTCCGGACGGTCGTATTAATAACAAAATATTTCCAGAGAGTAAGAATGTAACAAACGTAAATGTAGGAAATATATACTTATAATTTAACTTTTTTAGGGGGGTTATATTGACCAAAACTCTCTAGTTTTAAGCCTTTTTTCCCGGCAATTATTACTAAATATTTCCCATGATATCTCTCTGACAAGATTTTAGTTCAAGAAGAAATATTCAACTGTGGATTTGAAAAAAGGTTCCTCATTTTACATCTGTGATTTTTGGGCTGAAGTTTGGAGATGAAGTGCTTATCCGCTAAACAAGACACTGAAAAGAGAATTACAAATTTTATGCCAGATGTTCCAATTTTGAAAAATGTCTTCAACATGGGTATTTACATTATATGCACTTATAAATTCTCAATAAGCCTCTGTTCTGTTATTATACCACAAACTGTTTGATAAAGGGTCTTGTTTTGTCTTTTCTGTTCCATTTTAAATCCATCCCCACAACTCTGTTGGTTTTTGCATAATATTTACTGTGAATTTCGAAGAAAATGTGTGGTTCATAAGTTAACAGTTTTATCTTCAGATAGAGGAGATGTAATGCACTGTTAATAAACTTATGATCACACCTGTACACTCCACTACCTTTAATTTGAACACTTTTAATAATTTAGGAATGCGAACACCACTTTAGGCTTGGCAAAATCTTATATGGAAACGCATTTAAAGCCCTTGGGACAAAAGGTTTGTTCTCTAATAAATGTGTTTTTATAATTATACACTTATAAGGAATTCCAAAACAAAATCATCTCTAGCTGTTATACTTTGGGTGTTCCCATTAACGGTTTGAGAAAGAGTTTAGCAGAGTTATTCACTTCACACATTCAAGTGAGAATTCAAATTTCCACAGAGTCAGACTTGGTTATTAAATCAAATCCTTCTCACAGAGAGGATTTGATTGGCACAGTGTGGCAATTTTGCTAAGCATGTGAACTAGCCTCCCAATACTTTACTATGGGGAAGCATTGGATTGGCCGAGATCATCAAGACTGATCTCAGCCAATGACGTGTGCAGCAGGACTTGTTCTGTAAACAATAGAGAGGAGTAAAAAATTATTTATTGCTTGGGGGGGAGAATGTTTGTTTATACAATAATTTGAGAAAAAGTGGAAACCTGACATTGTGAGTGCAAAAGGTCACTATAGATCTATAACTCCAAAAAACAAAAAAATGTATGGTATATTTATCAAAATTAATGGAAAAGTGTATTTGTGTTATTAAAGTGTTTTTAAAATAGTTCAAAAAGTGATACCTATTTTGTTTATATATTCCATTGTTATGTACCATTAACCAAGCCTAATGTACTAAATAGTCTGCTCATATTTGGCCACACTCTATGCATCTTAAAGGGACAGTATAGGCATCATAAAAACTTTAATTTGAAGTGTTGTGTCGCCTTATGGTCTTAAGAGTCCCCCTGAAGAAATCTTACAATTTTCCTGGCACTATAGGCTCCTGCAGTGCCCCCTTCCTTTGCACCGTGACCCCTTCAGTCACTTACCAGAATCCAGCGCCAATGTCCGTCCGCACTGGGTCAGGCACAGCCCACAATCCTCAGACCTCAGCATTATATAATGCTTTCCTATTGGGAAAAAATCTGACACTGGAGATCCTCATGCAGAGCATGAGGAAGTCAAGCGTCAGATAACGGACCAAAGGTCCCTCTAGTGGCTCCTGGTAGACACCCACTAGAGGTGGAGTTAACCCTGAGAGGTAATTATTGCAGTTTCTCAGAAACTGCAATAGTTCCCACTGTAGGGTTAAGGGACATGGGACATTGCACCCAGACCACTTCAGTGAGCTGAAGTGGTCTAGAGGCCTACAGTGTCCCTTTAACCACTTAAGGACACATGACGTGTGACATGTCATGATTCCCTTTTATTCCAGAAGTTTGGTTAAACAGTTAGACAGCCACTAGAGGATTTGGGGGAAGGCTTAACCCATTCATAAACATAGCAGTTTCTTTGAAACTGCTATGTTTATAAAAGAATGGGTTAAGCCTAGCTGGACCAGGCACCCAGACCACTTCATTAAGCTGAAGTGGTCTGGGTGCCTAGAGTGGTCCTTTAAAAAGTCCTGATTTGACTGCATGCCCACATGCAGAATGACACCAAGACGTGTTGAAAGCTGAGTACCTTACCCCTTTTAAAGTTAGCTAGACTTTCAAACGTGCATCACCTATTGTCGATAACGATCTAATTAACTGGTATCAAATCTGACAGTCTATCATCATCTTCAAAGTTTTCAGAAAAATGACAAAAACAGCAGCGACAACGCCTGTCAAACGCACACACACAACTGTGCAGTTCCGTTAAAATGCCTTCAGAGTGAATGTAAGGGGACAGCCCTAATTTTGTTGTGTCTCCTTCTAGAAATGACTGGAGGGGGGCACCAGGAGTTGTTTAGTCCCTGGGTAATTGCCCGGTATCCAGACACAAGATACATGAATCAGCTTGTCCTGGAGCATTGCTGCGGGATTACAAGCTTAGAGCGCAGGATCACACGCAACATTCCTGAAACTGTATATTTACAGAGAGCAGGCAAAAATATTCACATTTCAAAAGCTATGGCAATTAAACAGCGTCAGCACCTGCCTTCGGATTAACCCACCCAGACGTGGTTTTAACTCTTTCATGATTAGCATGTAGCAAAAGAAGGCTAAAAAGGGTTAAACGAATATGATCGGCAGATTTGTAACCTGAGAACATTTTTACATAAAGCAACAAAGTATAAAAGCTATCTATTCTAAATGAATGTTATTTTAATTTTTGAACAGTATTTCATACGTGAGTTTGCCATTTTACATAATGCCTATATGCTAGCTATAAATCACAAGCCTATATTTCAAATACATGTTACTATAGAGATTGTAGCCCTATTAGTCCAGTGATGCAGATGTAAAACAACGTGAAATTCGTATCTTGTAATCAGTGTTCTATTTTTGTTTTTGTGCTGCAGTAGGCAGGATGAAACTCTGGCATCCCCCAATCTAAACTTTCCTCATACCCCCTTCATGTCAAAGCAGCACCTCTTCCTTTTTAAGACTAGCACACACTTTCACTGACAGACAAAAGCCCTCACTGATGCATACACTGACTAACAGATACACAATTGTTGGCACACACACTGTTTAACCAACACACACTTTCACTGACAAACACACATCTGCAGTTACACACACATTCATAGACAGACACACATACACACTCAGTAACAGAGACACACTAACTTAATACAAATCTCAAACAAATATGGGGATTCAGTTCCACCATATAGTCATATTGTGTTAAGCCTACCACTACTTCACTCATACACAAATTATTATTATGTTTAATATTATTTCTACCATGGGGAGTGCTGGAGTGAATGCTCTCTTTTTTCTGGGGTAGCGGGGATCCTTTCACTGCCGACCACCCGGGTAAATGCACAATGGTGCTCTGATCTTCCTGCTTTTTTCCCTTGTGTGCTAATTTTAAAAAATAAATATAACTTGGTAATGAGGGGGTTCGATGGGGATTTTGACTGTGATGGATTCACTTGACTTCTTCCATTTTTATTTATTTTTTTTTTTTTTTGTAAATATATTTTTTATTGGATGTTTTAAGTTTGTCAGTATCGAACATGTCATGAAAAAGCTTCGGTAAGGACACGCAGGTCCTATGATGTTTGCGTGCAGGCAAATTGCATTGGTACAAACGTTACTCATGTAGATATACATTGGAGACACGCAGGTCTCATTTAATCGTAAGAGGCATAAATTAGTTGGACACGCAGGTCCTATGGCGTATAGATGGCGTGTGCCCCTACGCTATTTTCAGTTTGGGTACTCAGGTCCCCTCTGTGTGAAGCGTGTACTGTCATTTTAGGATGTGTCGTTTGGTCAGATTTACGTTGAGTTTTTTATGTTCAGTCAGTTAATTGAGGCAGCATGTGTCTTAACATGGTGTATCTTTCGTAGATATATTTTTATTGGATGTTTCAAGTTTTTCAGTATCGAGCGTGTCATGTGAGCGCTTTAGTATGGACACGACGGTCCCATTATGTCTGTATGCAATCATTTGCAATAGAACATTTGTTGCCCATGTATATATACATTGGAGACTCGCAGGTCTCGTTCAGTCGTGAGAAGTATGAATTAGTTGGACTCGCAGGTCCTATGGCATATATTTGGCTTGTGTCTCTAAGCTATTCTCATTTTGGGTACTCAGGTCTTATCTGTGTGAAGCGTTTGCTGTCATTTGAGGGAGCGTCGTTCGGTCAGGTGTATGTTGAGTTTTGTGTGTTCAGTCAGTTAATTGAGGCAGTTTGTGTCTTAGCATGGTGTATCTTGTATGTGAAGGAACTTTTGTGTGTGTTGTGTCTATGTGGGTGTGTGTGTCTGCGCATTCCATGAATTGCAAGGCGTTGGGTTTGAGATTTGTATTCCGTCGTGTACTTTTATCTGTGAGAAGTATTTGTGAGTATGTAGTAAGTAAGATGGAGGAGTAGGTCTAGTAGCACGGAGTGTTAGTGTGTGAGGTTTACTTGGGTATCTCCTGTTGTTCAGCTCTAACTTGGGTAGCGATGCATGAGTCGGGATAGTCGGTTTGGGTTTAATGAGATGTCTGTATGATATCATTTTTTTTTATTTTTTTTTTGGGGGGGGTTGGTGAGTTATTGCCAGTATCATATGCTGCTATGTCTTGTGTCCTCATTGGTTGTGTTCATGGGGTGATTGTGTGTTGGCGGTGTGTTGATCGTGTGAGCGTTGTAGTTTTATTGCGTGTAGTGTATGTGGTTTGTTAGGAGTAGGGATGGGTGGAAGTCCCCTTAACTTCCCTCTCCAGCCGCCGCGTCCTCCCCATCACGTCTTGCCACGTATATTATCCAAGGTTGCCACTTGTCAACATGTTTCGTGAGGGTGTATCGTAGGGTCGCGTGCATTTCTTCTGCGAATCTGATCTCTTCTACCCTGTTTAGCCATTGTTCCATTGTGGGGGCGTTTGTCGTTTTCCATAAGGCAGGGATTAGAGCCTTGGCCGCGTCGAGAAGGTGTCGCAGGATGGATCGTTTGTATTTTGAAATCGGGTCTTTGGTGTGATGCAGGAGAATGTTGTCTAGTGATAGGTGCGTCGTATGGCCTAGTACCTCTTTGATTCGGGACGTAATCTGGTTCCAATACGGTTTAATGTTGGGGCAGTCCCACCATATATGTTTTAGTGTTCCTATGTCTGCTTCACATCTCCAGCAGGTTGCCGATGTGTTGGGGAATATTCTGTGGAGCAGGTCTGGGGTTCTGTACCAGAATGTCAGCAGCTTATAGTTCATTTCTTGGTATTTTGAGCTAATCGTGGATTTGTGATGGAGGATGAGAATTTTGTCCCATTGTGCGTCGGTGAACACTGTGCCGGTGATGTTTTCCCATTTTTCCTTATATCGTCGGGTTGTTTGCTGCTCACCTGTGATTAGGTATTGGTATAGCGTCGACGTTGGTTTCTGAGTCGGTGTTTGTTTGTCGCAGATGTCCTCAAACCACGTGAGGGTTCTGTGTACCGCTTGTTTGTTCGGTAGGGTGTGGTAGAAATGCGTCAGCTGGGAGTATCGGAATTTGTGCATGGGAGCTGGCGGGCCTTCCATTAGGCGTTCCAGGGGGTCAGTCCTGAGGCGGTTAGTGTTTTGTGGAGTGGTATGAAGTCTCTTCCCTCTAGAAAATCCCAGGCCTTGATCGGTAGTCCTCCCCCCACTGCTTGGTTATGTGTTAGCGTGGTCATCGGGCTGGGTATTGGGGAGATGGTCGTTGCGTTCCTTATTGTAGACCATAAGTGGAGGGTGTGACTCGCTGGCGAATTTGTGCCGGGGTCTGTCTCCGTGGCGTTTTCTGATTCCATAGGGATGCAAAAATAGATGGGCTGCAGGATTCTCTGTCTAAGGCCACCCACTGTTTGCATCTCGGGTTAGTATGCCATTCCAGTATCCGCTGCAAGGCTGTCGCTTGGTGGTATTTGCGTAGGTCTGGGAGTGCCAATCCGCCCTGATTCCTGGTCTTGCATAATAGTTCATATCGTAGTCTAGGCCTGCATCCTCTCCATACATAGGTCAGGAATGCGGTTTTTATTGTCGCGAAAAAG